TATTTTGGGGATGGATTCCGGGAAATCTCCCTTATTTTCAATGTTCAATGTTGACAGCTGGACTGGATACGGTAAAAGTTTATCAAGTTTATGTTGCTCTGATTGGCTTTAGCGCTATCCAATTGCGTGCAGAGAGAATTTGAAAGACAACCGTTTATCCCGCCCCTCGGATTGAGCCCTGTCAATGAAGAGTTTCCAGACCGAACATATTGATGTAGGTCTGGCATGCCAGGCTAACAAATTTCGGTACCACAGCAAAATCAGTTTGAACTATTTATCTAATTTAACCATTTGAAGAAAATATTAAATTCAATTCAATGACTTTTAGGGATGTAACGATTCACTCGCAACCGGTTGAAAATCGATAAAAATGTGTGACGATTCAAGTCGGTTGAAATGTTAAACGAATCATGATACACGTTTTAAACATCAGGGGCATTTAATGAATAGCCTACTGTGAAGTTGTGAACCTCGCTTTACAGGCACAATAGCAGCGAGCACACACTGGCGCGAATCTATAGCGAGTGTTTTCACTTCATTCCTAAGGAACTTGTGTGAGCACTCATAATAATAAACTGAAAACGCTTGGTTTGCTCCGCTCGCGCCGCGCGAGTGTGTACACGCACTGTCAAACACATGGTGACGGCAAGCGTAGATGTTGACTCATTCAAATCGGAGCTGTGGCGGCATTTTGACTCTTCATAGACTAATAATAATCACCACCATGAGAAGCACATCACCTCCGTTTTCACGTAAAAGTCATTAATACGACAAGTGTGAGAGCTACAGAGATTACAAGGTGCGTCAGTGTTTCCATAGCAACCATGTGTTTATTTTACTATCCCTTTCTCTAAATGTGTACATGGAATTATTTATTTTGTAAATAATTTGTTGATGGTTATGGCATATTTTGCTAAATGTGTTGTTTTTTTTAACTCTTTCTAGTTTAATGATATAAATAATGACAAAATTAAAATCTTTCCTTTATTACAATGTAAAATGCCTGTCAATGTGGTACTAATTTTACAGTCTTTAACTTAGTGTGCGAAGGTACCAGTGTCCAGCCTCTTGACCAGACGGACAGAAACACCGAGTTGAAACAACCTTGAAGGGATTTTTTTTTCAATGTAGTTTTATTATTTGACCAATATATTTCAAAATGAAAAAGAAATGTGCAGCATTTTGTCTGAGCAATAATAAAAGAAACACTTTTTCCATTTATAATTTGTCTTAAATCTCATTTGTTAAAAAAAAAAGTAAGAAAATCGTATCGTGAAACCAGTATCGGGAATCGTATCGCATCGTGAGTTGAGTGAATCGTTACATCCCTAATGACTTTACTATTTATGAAAGCATTGAAAGCTCCATGCTGTTTAAAAGAAAATATTGATGAGATTGAGAAATATTGCTTATAAAAAAAAATCAAGTGACTAATAAGCAACCTTCTACGCAAACACTATTATAATTATTAGTAGTAGTATTTTTAATTAATGGAGGCGTAGTTAAATCTGTTGTACAGTAGCCGAATATAATTATTTCTGTCAATTTCGTTAAGTTAAACATTTTTTTTGACGGGTTGCCTCGAAGACCTTTGAGTTTATTTGCGTGTATGATATGACGATAGTTTTTCTCAAATGAAACAGTAAATTGCTCATGAAGTGAATCTCAGAGATGAATGGAATCATGAATCATGTCATTATATCGTGAGGAAGCAGAGACTGAAAACAGCACGAGCGTCACTCATACTTCTGTGAGTGTGTGTGTGTGTGAGGTAACGTTAAATGAAACCGCACGTCTGCGCCGTTCAATCACACAGAGACAAGCAGAACATGCAGGGTTCATATTTAATTAGTCTTTTTGCAGTTTAATATACACAGACACCACATCAGCAGCGCAGCCGGTCGCTATGTCTCAGCGCTTTCATGAAGAGGACAACTTCACGTTCACGCCCTTCGTGCATGCATGTGCATCCAGAACCGGGTTTGATCGGGTACTCGGTACCACCGGGACTTGGTACCGTGACGTTTACATTTTTTTAGTAGCGACTTGGTACTGAAGTACTGAATATTTTGACAACACTACTTTGGTGTTTGTATTGTTATACAGGGGTTGGACAATGAAACTGAAACACTGGCCAATGTTGGAGGTTTCACATCTATATGCCTGGCGGCCAATCTTCAGAGTGAAGCACGAGTGGATCAGTGATGGTTTGAGCTCCAATATCATGACAATCCTGATTGTATTTGATGGACACGACACTGCCGAGGACTACCAAACCCTTCTGGAGGATCATGAGCACCTGATACTCAAACCGCTCAAACCGCATGATCATGCACCAACACACACAGCAAGACTTGTGACAGAAGGGTTTGATGAAGATGAAAGTGACGTTGAACATCTCCCATGGTCTGACAGTCACCAGATCTGAATATTATTGAGGTGTTTTGGAGGAGCGAGTCCACCAGCATCATATAGTGACCTGGACACTGTTCTGGAAGAGGAACGGCTCATAATCCCTCTGGTCACTGTGAAGGACTTCTATCTGTCAATTGGTGCTGTATTTGGATGCAAAATGAGGCCCTCACCATACTAACAAATGATTGTGTTGTAAGACCAGGTGTTTCAGTTTCATTGTCCAACCCCTGTATGTTGTAGATGGTTGTAGGAGTGCAGATTTTATCTCCAGCAGTTATATACAGTTGTCAACATTTAAAGTGGATCAAAACCTTGAATTTTGAACAACATCAGGTCATGTCTTAGAAAAACTTTGAACTTTTTTTGATCCACTTCAAATGTTGACTACTGTATATACACACGTACATATGTGGACATGATCAGCAACAATACTCAAGTGTGCTGTGGTGTTTAAACGAAGTTCAATTGGTACTAAGAGGCTCTACTAAGAGGGGTACTAAGTGTGCCAAGAAAATACCATTACACTCACCATCTGAATGTTGCAGCAGAAAATCGAGACTCAGACCAAGCAACATGTTTCCAATCTTCTATTGTCTAATTGTGGTGAGTCTGTGTGAATTGTAGCTTAAGTTTCCTGTTCTCTGACAGGAGTGACACCAGTGTGTTTTCTGCTGCTGTAGCTCATCTATTCAAGGTTCGACATGTTGTGTGTTCAGAGATGCTCTTCTGCAAACCTCGGTTTTAACAAGTGGTTATTTGAGTTAATGTTGCCTTTCTATCAGCTGACCCAGTCTGGCCATTCTCCTCTGACCTCTGACATCAACGAGGCAGACGAATATTTTCTCTTTTACAGACCATTCCCTATAAACTCTTGAGATTGTTGCGTGTGAAAATCCCAGTAGATCAGCAGTGATCCAGCGCTCGAAGTCACTTAAATCCCCTTTCTTCCACATTCTGATGCTCAGTTTGCACTTCAGCAGATCGTACTGATTGTCTACTAGGGTTGGGTATCGAGAATCGAGTATCGATTGGAACCGAGACTAACTTTTCGTTTTTCCCGGAATCGTTCAAAAGTTAAAATTTCGATTCCTAGTTTCGATATTCACAGTCCGCCGAGCGGAAGAAGAAACCGCTGAACAACACCAACGAAGAAGCATCTACCGGAAGTGTTGGCATAACCACGCGAGTCGAACATTAGTAGCTTACGTCGGCGGTCCCAAAGTGTGTGTTTGTGACAAAAGGAGTATTTCCTTCAGAAAGGATTATTTCCTTCAGAAAGGCCATTGGTTAGCAAGGTTAGCTAAACTTTTTTGACCCTGGCTCTTAAAAGAATCAGAATCGAGAATCGTTGGGAACCGGAATCGAAACAAGGAATCGGAATCAGAATCGTTCAAATTCAAACGATACCCAACCCTATTGTCTACACGCTCCTAAATGCATCGAGTTCCCATGTGATTGGCTGATTAGATATTTGCATTAACAAGCATTTGAACAGGTATACCTAATAAAGTGGCCAGTGAGTGAGTGTGTGTGTATACACACATATTACTTTTTTTGTAATAAAAATTTAATCGTTTGGACTCCTCTCCTTGCAATCCGTCATTAAGGAAAATTCCATTATTTTACATTTTCATTGCGCCTCTAAAGTTTTTAAGTTACATTTTTCTACTTAGGAGAACATGTGCTCATTGGGGAAAAAAGGAAGCATGAAGCCCTTCCTGTCATTCATTTAAAATAGAAGTTTTCAGCCACATTTCTAAGCATTAACCGGTCAACTTTTCTGGACAACCAACATGCGGTAACACAATGACGCAGTAAATTATGTACGCAGGCATTTAAAATGGATTTTAAATGACTCTCTCTCTCTCAGCTGACCACTTGTGATCAGATGACCACCTGAGATAGATAAGTTCAGGTGTAAACAGTACCTAATAATATAATGAAAACATCACATTATCTGACGACGTAGTGCTGAATAAATTAAACCATAAGCTTTTTAGGTATAATCCACACCAGATTCTAAGAAATGAACTGCAAGTAACAGGCTTAATTAGATTGAAGATTAGAGTGTAACTCTCTAAATTGTGAGCCGTGGCAAGGTTTCACTGTCCTACTTAGAGAGACACTTGCACTGCTGATCCAATTACACTCTACGAGTCGTCATGTGCTTAAACTCCCTGCGTGGCCAGACAGAAAGGACTGTTCCTGACTGAGACTGTGACAGAACAACGAGAACAGGAGTGTAAAAGAGAGAAGGATCAAAATCTAAAGATGAGAAACAATAATCGTCAGCAGTAAAAGATTTGTATATAAATTCCAAAATGTATTACCAAATTTGCAGGAATGAAATTATATGATATGCCTGGAGTCTGCAATAAACAATCCAAGGCGCACTTCAAAAACAGCTCCATCTGGCACAATAATAGACTCATGGGTCATGCAAGGCTGCCCGCTAACAGTTAACACAATTAGCACCATTCATTGTGATACGCACACAACAACAGATCATTTGATCAATTCCAAGAAATCTCCACCAAAGAAAGCAGAACTGTGTTGGGCTATGTTCAGTTTGGAGTCGTCTCTACCTTTGATGGTGGGAAGCTTCTGCAGTTCCCGGTTCTTGCTGAGGTTGAATCGTGACGAACTCTGCCGACGCTCCTTCTTTACAATCTGAGGCCCACCTGAGTACTTAATTTTGTTGAGCTGAGTGGGAGGTGGAGTGCTGTTGCTCGGACGCTTGCTGGCTGTCTGCTGGGCCTGGGGAAAAAAAAAAACCCCACAATGTTCAGAATCAAAATGGGCACATTATCCCATTCTATGCAATTTCACCACTTTTGGTCACAGAAGGTCAGACTCCAGTGCCCTCTCATGTGAAACACAATCAAAGAAACAAAAATGCAACAAATAAGAAAAAGGCTATCCTGCTTTCAAAGTCAGAGGCTCATTCTGGAGAGCATTTAATTGGAGAAACATTTGGATAAACCCATTAGTGCTAGATGAGTCATCAATATTTTGGGTCTGCCTTCTCAGAAGAGAATTTTAATTGTGTGAACGACGACTTTATACACTAGCATATAAATGGCCTAGCATATAAACTCTATTTTGATTGGTGACACTTTATTTTACAGTGTCCTTGTTACATATCGTCGCCTTCCTAAAATAATTGCCCAAGTCATTTTCATTTTCAATTATTTTAGGAAGGTGAGGATATGTTATATGTACTTACCATAATACAAGTAAATGATAGATATTACATGCAACTAACCCTCAACCAAACCCTATTACTAACCTAACCCTATAGTAAGTACACATAGTTAATTTATATTACTCAGTACTTAAACATAATTAGACTGTAACAACGACACCTTAAAATAAAGTGTAACTTTTTGATTGATTGTGTCTTTAAAACCGCTGATTCATCATCAAGAAAGTGTACCTGTAAATCTCTCTTTCTATTTCAATAGATCAATAAGTATTCCTCTATGCCTTGATTACAGTTTTGTTTACACTTCTATATGCATATTAAAACGTATTTATCCATATCCGCATTATACATCATAACTGATTTACCATATTGTTAGAAAGTATCTGCCTATTAGTGCCTAACAATACGAATTTAAAGTCAGCTAACTGCGTCACACTTCACTGGGAAGCAAATAACTCGAATGTAATATTGAGCTTCATCTAATTATATTTACTGGAATAATTGAGAAAAGAATTTCAGGCCCTAATTGTAATAAGGAATAGCAACTAATTTGTTTTAAAAAAAAGTTTTGTAAAAACAAAATTGGATGCAAATAGGAAAAGCGAAAACAGAAGTGAGAGCAGAAACATCAGTCATTACAAATTCAACCTTGGCATTGTTCCTTTTTCTCATATTGGACACATTAATTAGGCAATAACATATTAAAACAATAAATTAACTTTTATTTTGACATCTACAGTGAGCCTCTGAGGACTGATGATGTCTAGTATAGATGTTTAGAGTGGTTTTTCTCCACATTTACAATTAATTCTCAGGTCTTATTTATATACACTTATACATACAAATATGAACAAGTATTTTCCAATGGCAAAACAGTGAATAACAGCTATGCAACCACTGTTGTAACACAAAGCAACGCACCACATCAGTCAACAAACCACCTCCCTAACCCATTGGAGTTGAAGTCCACAACTAACCTAACCTACATAACTCCTTATTACCATTTCTAGATTCAGCCTGCATTAAACATTCATGAGTAGCCTGAGCTACCCATCAAATAAATATGTCTTCAATGCAAGATGAGCATCACAGAAACCATTTAAACCATAGGTGAGTATTACAGTATTATCACAGTGGGACTGTCCTTTACTAATGTTGCTAGTCAAGCTATACAATATGAACCCAGTGAGATTTTGTGCAAAAGCCAAGGCAGACTGTGCGACAACAACCATCTTTAATGACTATGTGATATAAATATATTAGCTAAGGCCTTGTCCAAACCGATAGGGCTGGGTAATAAATATCGATTTCTCGATATTAATCGATTCTCATTTTTACAAACCGATATCGATTCTTAAATCTCAAGAATCGATTAGTCATCCTGTTTCATTTTGTATGAATGAGACATTGTATCGCGGCTGCGCGCATCCAAAAAATCGCAATAATCTTTGTCCTTTGTTACTATTGATATGAAACAAAGTCTCAATTTTCAAATTACGTCCATTTTCTTTTGAAATTCAAAAACATAAATTGCGTTTTGCCGTTTTGGCGCTGTGGCGTGAGATCGCTCTGGCGCAGCTCAAGAGAAGCAGCAGCGCTGATCTCTCTTTCGGGTTAATAATACCAGTCACATCTGAAAGTGTGTTAAAAGATAGAGTACAACTTATCGAAATCCCTATCATGTCACATTGATTCGCTCAATCTGCGTTTCAACCGTGGAAAGACGTCAATTAAACAGCTTGTAATCAATGTCATGTATCGTCATATTTACCTCAGAAAAACCACATAAACTCGTTAGTCCACACTCGTTAGTGTTCTTCAATATTTAATGCATATTTGAATAAATCTGGCAAGTTTTTATGACAACCACCATTTAAATGTTTATATTTCATATAATCTTCTTATTATAAAAATAAATAAAAGTGTAATTTAAGTTTTTCTATAGCTACAAAACAGTTAATTATTACCTTCATATTAGGCTAATGAAGCCTAGTAGGCTACAACTAGACTATATATATATATAGACCATAGTTTACAGCATTTAAGAGATTTGATTCCCTTGAGAAAAATAGCCATTTATTGTAACTGATATCCAAAATAATCGATATTGAATCGAATCGAATCGTAATCGAAATCGAATCGAATTGCAAGCTTGTGAATCGAAATCGAATCGAATTGTGAAATTTGTCTCAATACCCAGCCCTACAAACCGATACGTTTTTTTCTCTCCGTTCTGGCCTTTTCGTCCACAATGACATGGTGTTTTTGTCCTGCGAAAAATTAGCTTTTTAAAAACGCTTTCCCAAGCTGATAAATTCAAAAGCGCTGTAGTATTTGAAAACGATGACGCATGTTTAGTCATGTGACGCATATTGAATTTCTAGATATGCATGTTTTACCGCTATTGTGTATGTTATGTGCTATTCACTTCAACACAGTTGCTAAAATTTGTTACTTTATACTCTCTTAATATCGCAGTCCTGCAAAGATGACAGAAAATGCAATTGCTCTCCTCTGGAAAAACATGAGAGTTTTAGACCAAACATAATGACTAAAGCCGCGTTTCCACCGCAATTACCAGGAACTGTCTGTTACACAAGTGCTGTGAGGTGAATTTAGCATTTTTCGACATTACAGTTTGGATGAGAAACTTTTGGAAAATGCTTGAAAACTCTAGTAAGGTCGGTGGTGATGGCGCAGTGGATAAGACACATGCCTTTGGTGTGAGAGAGACCCGGGTTCGAATCCACTGTGAGATACCAATGTGTCCCTGAGGCCATCCTTAAAAATATTCTTGTTTGCCGTAACCCGACCGACCCTGTCAATTTAGGGCAGACCCAATTTTCTTATTTCTTTTCCTTTTAGTCCGACCGACTTGCCGGTTGTAACCTGCGTTCAGACCGACCGACCGATTTTTTTTTTTTTTTTCTTTTCAAACGACTAATTCAAATTCAATAAAATAATATTTTAGTTAGTATTGTGAAAGTTGCTTATGTCTACAAACATAGGCTACGTTCTTTCTTTTAAATAAAAACCTGTGGTGTCATAGTCATCCGATTATGTTTACACCATTGGTTTAACGTTACGCGTGTCACACTATGGCTTGTACGTTCGCTCGTTTCATTCAGTGTTCCCGCTTGGTACCCGGTATTAAAAGGGCAACGGGACTGAATATCAACCATTTCTATATATAATAATAATATTAAACAATTTGTCTGTGATGCATTTTGCTATTCACAGTCCAGAAGAGAGAGCGATCTCTCACCCGGAGCCACAGCGCGCACAGCACGACAGCCCTGCTTAATGAGTGACAATGAGGACAGAACGTGGTTACCTACACTTTAGATCTGGGATATTATTCTAATTGTATTTTAGATTTCCACTTTCAAAGATTATAAAAAGAAGATATTTGAGAAGAAACCATTACAGACGCATTCTGTCTAGCGCAACTTCCTTCCCTTCACAGCGTTGCGCTGTCATTTCTTCCTAAAACCCAAACGTACCGTCAGAATCAGCACGATCGGTGATTGTTGTAAAATGCAGTCTGTACTGTTGCTAAACTGCGGACGCGTTCAATCATTAAAAGAGCTATTAAAAGCACAAAAGTCTGCGCAAGAGACGCTGATCACAAGGCGACGGGCGCTCCGAAATCCACTAAAACGAGACAAGAAAAGTAGGCTATATCCTCATTTTGGGCTTCATGTGCGCATCTAAACTATCAAATAAACATAAAATATAAAATGACCTGCTCTGAGATTCATTTAAACACAGTTTATGTCTTAAATGGACGTAAATAGTTGGGAGAAAATGATGGTGCATCAGTCATCTATCACAGTAGAGTTCTGCATTCGGTCTTAAAGGGGCAGTAGTCTAATAAATGTGTGTGACGATTGAGCCAGTAATGCGAATCAAACAACAAAAGGCAGATAAAAATCACTCACAGCTCTTGAATGAATAACTTAAACTTTAATAAGCATTAATCTAACTATGATAAACTATGCGGTGTCATTTTACATTTGATTACTAAATTAAATTTCTTTTCAGACAGAGAGACAGACTTAACTGAAAAGTAGCTAATTTTAGACCTTCCTGAAATTAAAGCACTGTGTATAGGCTAATTTGTATCTTTGTTTAATTGTATTCTTTGTTTGACCATGTGTTTGTACTTGTTTTTGCCTATCTCATGTATATGCACAACAAATAGATATTTTACACATTTTGTGACTGGCCTAAAACGTTTAACCGGTTGTAGGTTGCATTAACACCTAGCGGTGGATGCACAGTTTGAAGACCCAGTCAGTGACGTCACAATATGCATTTTTTTTTTTAAATTCACGATCACCATCACCAAAATTTTACTTTTTTTTTTTACACTGAATCTTGAAAAAAAATATATAGACCTACCTACCGACCCTTTAAAAAAAAAAAAATTGCTGTTACTGCAAAATATTTTTAAGGATGGCCTGAGCAAGACACTTAACCCCTAGTTGCTCCAGAGGCGTGTGACCTCCGACATATAATTGTAAGTCGCTTTGGATAAAAGCGTCAGCTAAATGAATAAATGGAAATGTAGTGATGGAGATGGATGGAGAGCATTACGAAACAAAAACGTTGTTCTCAAATGTATCCGGATTAATGTATACGTAGCCTAAAACAATATTTTTGACACCGCCTGACCTTCATGTGAGGCTAAGTTTAATTGCAAAGGCAATTAATTGGCTGCCAGTGAGAACGTCTCACTAAGCTTTTCAAGACGACAAAATAAATATTTCACAATCCTCAAAATTAGTCTCAGGCAGCAAAAAATTGAGGCAAAAATAAATAAATCACACAGTGTTCACACAGCTTTTGATCAGAAGGACATTGATTAAATATCAAAGCTAATCTTTTATTTATAGGAACACAGAATCAATGCGAAACCGCAATGTATTACTGGCACCATGGCTGAAGCCGTTCAGATAGCTGTAGAAAATTGATAAATGAGATGCATGAGACGTTTCCAAACCAACTAGCCTATGTGTGCCCTCATGGAAAAATCCTTTATGCAATGAACGATTTAATGAAGAAAAAAGCGACACTCACTGTCCAAGCAACAAGCGCTATGTATGTGTGTGTGTGTGTAACGACTGCCGCTGTGAAACACATGTTGAGGCCTGCCCATAGCATTACAGAGCTGGCCTCAGTCACAGGGGTTGCATGACTGAGTCTGACTTAAAATAGACCAAATCAATAAACTTCACCCGTTGCTACGTCACTCTCTGGGCCAGTTGATTCTGTCTGCATCACTTTGAACAACAGTGATATATTTCAGGGTGTACAGACAAGCTATTATGTCAATACAACCACACACTGGGAGGGATTACAACTCAATACCTAAATACATACATTACAAATGTAATTATCTAGCTAGAAAATCACTAATGACGCAAAAATAATAAAAAAAATGAAACAACGATCCTTCAACACACTGAATGCTTCACTAGGGTCTAATAAACAAGTCTGACAGCACACGGAAACAATGAATCACATTGGATTTTTTTAATCAATAAAAAATAAAACAGAAATTACTGTTCAACTCTACAGTAAACAAGAGTTTTAAAGTCTATTTGCCTTATATTTAAACGTTAACTGTGGAGGACACTAATCACCTGAAGAAATAAACTTCTTTTTATGAACATCATGAAGATACATTAATGTAGACGGTATTTATATCATTGTTATTTTTAAATGATGAAACAGCCTACTGATTTGGGGCATTTTTTGAGCGATTGAATGTGCAAATTTTATGCAATGTTCAGTTGAAGCAATACATTATCTTGCCATTTACTTAAATTGATTTAATAACATGTACAGGCTGACAGTCTAGGCTCATTTGCTCATTTTAAGAGGAGACTTGCATTGTTTTCTATAGAAGAATAAAACACCACTTAAGGAGCCACTTCAATCAATCTTACTGGTTAATAAAACAGAAATAGAAATGGGGGATGTCTGGAAGCAAGGTAGATAGCAAGGCATTTACCTATCCTCAGCATAACAGTGGGCACTGCAAACCAAGTCAAACGTGCTTTTGGAAAAATGTCTGTGTGTAACATACTGAATAAACGTAGCAGAATCAACAGGAAGTGCAGAGATTACTTCACATATTACTTGCCTTGTAGAAGTCAATGAAATTGAATTTTAGTGAAAAAGTGAAAGAGAAAGCCCAAGAAAAGCAAGCAAATATTTGTGCAAAGACATCCTCTACAGTCAAACACATTATGAGCAATAGGGGTTTTATTTTAGACCTGTCTATCATCTTTACCTCTTCTGAATTGTCAGTTCCAGCATCCTTTCCACCACCGGCATTACTGTTTTTCGTGCTGCTTTTTACTGATTTGCTTGGTTCCTGTAATGACCACAAAAAGAACCAATAAATGAACATATGAGTCATAAATGCAGATCTGTTCAATCTTAAAGCCCATTTTGTTTTATCTAAAAGGGGACGGTCTGCAATATGCAAGTCAAATCGTGGGCAGGTCATGCTGCAGGGTTTGGTATGACAGGTGATGACACCCAAAAAGCCCAATTTGGAGTACATTTTGAATCAGGCAATGACATAAACAAAACATTGACTGCCATTCTGGGAATAACAAATGATTTCAGTTCACACAAGTCCAGCATCATATACACAGTGACAAACTTGTCCACTCATATATCGAGCGTTTATATAACGATGCCCACAGCCTGTCCACTGAAACATTGACTCATACAGGAGACATGATGTATGCGTGTCCAGCTTATGCTGCAATCTGTCAACTAATACGTCTGTATTCACATATTAACGGCCGATCATAATCTCACTATGGAAAACTGATCTGTAAAACAAACACCGGGTAAAACAGCAACCGAAGAGCATTCCCTCAAACATATATGATTTATATTTTAAACAGACGTCACGATGAGCTAAAGAAAACGCTTTCTCGTAATTTAAAAAATCTTGTGAATCTATGTAACTGTCAATGTTTTGACTTAAGATATGCAGGCTCAAATGCGCCCTTTTAGCGGGCTAGCGCGGCCTTCACTCACAAAAACACAACGCCAGGAAATGCTGCAGAATAATTGTTGTAAATCAAATTCCCGTACGCATTACTTAGACATGTGTTATGATTGTAAGCTGTACTTTACCTTCTCTTTTTTAGTTTTATTCGGCATTTTGGAAATGTAGTCTTTAGCCGTGCCTCCGTGATAAGGCTTCCCTTGCACTCGGGCTCTCTCGCGCACACTGTTACCTCCAGCTCACGCGCCCTCCCTTCACCAGCAACAAGCTGATTGGTCAACAAAGCACGAAACTAGGTAGCAACACCACAGCGGAATTTTTCTATTGGCCGCTCCTCGAACCAGACGGTCTTGAGGTTCCCGAACGGGGTCCTGGCTGCGACTACAGCTGTTGTTGACGACTTATCTAAAGGTGCAGATTGTCATTTGTCACAAGAGAAATTGATCGTGGGAGGGATGATTTAGCTAGTGACATTGACCGTGAACATGTCAGAATAGGGTCTTCCAGGCCAGGGGGTGTTTAGGTTGTGTAGGGCATGAGTACTACTGAACCGCTTAAAAAATTTTGTTTGTGAATTTTTATGCAGTTGAAGTCCTCTGGTTCAGCTTGAGAATAATTGTGTCATCAGATAGGCCGTGCAATATGAAAGGTATTATTTAGTGTTTTATTCATTTTAAAGCCGCTAACTGCATAAAGGATTCCAATGGAATTTTCTTATTCACACAGTTAGACTCAAGAAATATAACGCACTATTTGGCTTAAGACAAGCGTTACAGATCTTCATCCATTATATAATGGCTTATAGACAAGGTTTCAGTTTTTCAATTTAAACTACATTTATCTTTGTTTATATTCATATATATATATAAATATAAAATCCATATTATATATTAATAATAATACTTCACATTTTTCTAAAGATTCAATCGAAAATATCCACACAGAAGCAACTAGTGCCATCTATTGGTGATATATCCTATTTCCCTATCGATTCCAACAACAACACATTCAATTTAGAGTACAAATAGAAAAAAAAAAACAGAAACACGAATTCCTTCATAAGCATTTATTTAAAACACAGAAAACATAATTTTCATTATTTTTGGGGTCCAAAACTCCAAAAAGTGTAACTGTTAACTTATTTTCCAAACATTAGGCTACTATGCGTAATTCATTCGTTAGTGAATAAATAGCTAGTTGATATAAAAGATAGTTCACAGCCAAAAGAAAAAATATATAACTCTGTCTCTCCAATCCTGTATAATCTTCCTCTACGTAAAAAAAATATATATATAAATACTTTGAAAGCTAGGGTCCACATTGGACTCCATTGACAATCATTGTATGGAGAAGGCAAAAGAAAAAGTCATACACAAAAATATTTTAGATGCAGATCTGTAGTATGGTGATTAAATCAATTTTCATTTTGGGATGAACTAAATAGGGTATTCTAGCTCATAGAATAAGTTTCCCCAATTTACATGAATTATATTGATTAATGCACGTTAAATTACCAAAACCAGTCGAGGCAAACACTTACCTCCATAGTAAGCAGCAGCTTCATTTTTGCTGATGTTATAGTTCCTCCCTGGATGCAGATGTCAACTGTAATATTACTGTCATTAAAACACAATGTAAACAAGTCAACCTATATCTCTAGAAAATCCCTTTCTCAACAGTGATATTCCTAATACCTTACTAATCTTCAGGTTTAATCATTACTTTCAGTATTTACTCATATCTTGAAAACGATTGTATGCAAACACTGCACAATTATATACACAAGCAATGCAAGTTCAGTAATCTCATGTTCAATATGTTCAACGAAAGCAGTTGCAGCATATTGCTGTTCAATTTGTAATAAAAACTAGCATTTAGATCTACACTTGGTGCACATGCAAATAACTAAATACAGAGCACAATGTGATCCATTCATAAAACAGTAGCAGAATGGCTATCTGTGTATAATGTTAATAAATGTGCTTTATGCAAACGGTTTAACTCAATGTGGAAAATTACCTTAGAATAGATTTATGAACCATTTACACATGCATTCTCTCCAATTTCATGAATAAGGCCCAATGTGTGCACAAGGTTTATAAAAAAAAATAATAAAATAATAAAAACAGGCACAAGTCTAACAGCTGCAATAAGCATATTAATAAGAAGCAAAGACAGGAAGGGTTGCTGTGATTTATTTGAACTAGCACAGAACTTGTGCAATTACACCAACTATTTGGAGATGCTAAAGTATCGTGGTAGCAATGTGAACATTATAACAACACATTAGTTTGTCAAAAAACAAAAAATAAACTGAAACCAGAAGGAAAAGCCATCAATACACAGCACAGGGTAATAAAACTATGGAGGCCAAGCCTTGACATTTTCTGGCCAAAGTTGTGTATGCATGTCCTTGAAGCATGAACTCCACACCATTTCTCTTCTCTGAGCCTGGATCTGTGTGGCTCCTGTATTAAAATATCTTCATTGATTTAAATGGAACGAACAGAAGAAATGGATTTAGAGTCTGAAATTTTTAATACACATCGTATTCGTTATGTTTTACATTACCTTTGGGGAGGAAAGGAATGATTTCTGCTGGGAACAAAATACGCAAACATGTAGCTCAACACCTGGTGCTTTTGACAAGATAGTGAAACTTTTACACATATTTAGGATTCATTACTTGATGTAAGTTTTCATTCTCTTAGAGGGATTCCTTCCCCAGCACCCACTTCAGAATGAATGCTTTTCAGTCCACGCTTTCACTGGCATTACCTGCCAAAAGGTTAAGAATAGACATGAAACATTCTAACTGGATCAAGCAATTACAAAGAATACTTGAAAATCACTTATTTACATTCAGAGGTAACATATACATCCCTAAACCGACTCTTGGAAGGTCCTTTACAAAGGCTCAAAACTGAATTCAAATGTGTCCAAGTTCAGTTGCTCAGTAAAAGAACCAGGAAGAGGGGAGAATGACATGGGTTCCTCAGATTCCAGAGGGTTTTCCTCTTCGTTATTTATCTGTATTGGGTCCACACTATTAACGTCCATCACAGTTACGTCCCCCAAAGAGATTTCAATAGATTTAAGCACTTGTTGATCAATATCTTCCTCTTTTGAGTTGTCGTCTTTTTGAATCTCAGTTTTGAATGCATCCTCAAATGCTTGTTCAAATTTTGAGTCCACGGTATTGGGATATTCTTCGCCCTGTCCAACCTTTGACTCTTCACTCTTAGGAGATGCTTCGCTCTGGGCAACACTTGAAGACCTGTTGGGGGGTTCGTCGCTCTGGGCAACTCCTGAGTCCTCATCTTTGGGGGGTTGTTCTCTCTCTAAAATTCTTGAATCCACGTACTTGGGGGATTCCACTTTTTGGGCAACTTCTGAGTCCTCGTTCTCAGATGGTTCCTCCCTTGGGGCAACTCTTGATGGCCTGTTGGGGGGTTCTTTGCTCTGGGCAACTTCAGAGTCGTCATTTTTAGGGGGTTCTTCGCTTTGGGCAACATCACTAGCGCTTTTGTCTTTGTTGTTGGACTCTTTACAGCTTGAGTCACTGTCTGACTCATCTTCTGTAGTAACTCTTGAGTCCTCATTCTTGGGGTGGTGGTGTTCTCTCTCTGCAATTCTTGAATCCACGTACTTGGGGGATTCCACTTTCTGGGCAACTTCTGAGTCCTCGTTCTTGATGGGTTCTTCGCTTATGGCAACTCTTGAGGACTTGTTGGGAGGTTCTTTGCTCTGGGCGACTTCTGAGTCCTCGTTCTTAGATGGTTCCTCTCTCAGGGCAACTCTTGATGGCTTGTTGGGGGGTTCTTTACTCTGGGCAACTTCCGAGTCGTCATTTTTAGGGGGTTCTTCGCTTTGGGCAACATCACTAGCGCTTTTGTCTTTGTTGGACTCTTTACAGCTTGAGTCACTGTCTGACTCATCTTCTTGAGTAACTCTTGAGTCCTCATTCTTGGGGTGGTGGTGTTCTCTCTCTGCAATTCTTGAATCCACGTACTTGGGGGATTCAACTTTCTGGGCAACTTCTGAGTCCTCGTTCTTGATGGGTTCTTCGCTTATGGCAAGTCTTGAGGACTTGTTAGGAGGTTCTTTGCTCTGGGCAACTTCTGAGTCCTCGTTGTTGTGGGGTTCATCTTTTTGGGCAACTCTTGAGTCCTCATTCTTGGGGTGTTCTCTCTCTGCAATTTTTGAATCCATGCACATGAGGGGTTCCACTTTCTGGGCAACTACCGAGTCCTTGTTCTTGGGGAGTTCTTCGCTCTGAGCAACATCACTAGCACTTTTGTCTTTATTGTTGGGCTCTTTAATGCTGGACCCACTATCTGTAGGTGTAAATCCAGAGTCTTGTTTGTCACCAACATTGGAACTAACACAAGTTTTAACAGCAGAGTTACTACTGTAAAAAATGTCATACAAATCTTTTGCTTTTCCTGCAGCAAGAGTGGTCTTTGGCTTTACCATTTTGGGGGACGGGTCTCTGGCATTAGAAGGAAGCTGAGGAGGAGGACGAAGGATTATGGTGAGCTTCTGCTCTTCCTCAGGCACTCCGGGAGCAGCCACATCGGACTCTAGAGTGACAACACATTCACTGCGAGTAACAACACATTCACTGGGAGTAACAGGTTTCACCTGGGCAGCACTTACCACTTTGGGCGCTGCAGTTGGAGATGGAAGTGGAACGGATACGTTAAAGATATCTTCAGAGCTGACAGACGGCTTTGTGTTTTTTAATTGCACCTCTTCTCCACTAAATGCCTTGGAAATAAGGTCTGGTGGCAGTGCTGGGCCCATCGGAGTTCCTGTTACAGGACCAGCAGATTTGTCACTAGAAACAAGTGGTGTTGGTTTATTTTGCACACCTGTAAAAGACTTCCTAATAACCATAGGAGATATGGGAGGCGGTAGATTAGGATTACTTGTATTTTCGTTGTATGCTAGCCATTCACAAGAGGGGGGAAGCACAACCTTTCCTGACAATTTCATAGCAATGGATTTTGCAGCAGCTATAGACTTTGTAAAAGGATCTTGCTCAGGCTCTGCGTTTTCATTTGACGCCTCTTCATCTTCCTTTAAAAATTGTGCCGCCATCCTCTCTGCCTCCTTCTCCAGTGCCGTCTTCTGTGGCTTTTTCCGACCAAACTTCCCAAAGCCAAGCCGACCAGCAGCCTCCTCATTTTTTTTGCGAAGTTTAGCAAGCAAGGCAGGGCTCGGACCACATAAGACTTTAGGAGGCTCGCTGGTTTTCTCTGGCTCTGCTTTGACATCTTTAGCATTGAACTTCCCTGTGCTCTCCTGGTCATCTTTGAAATAACCACCCTTGCCCTTCTGGTGCAGAGTTTTGTCTTCTTTTTTATCATACTTGCCATTACTGTCTTCATCCCCATCCCACTTTGATTTCGGCCACTTCCCCCAGTCATCATCTTTATATTTTGACTTTTTATCCTCGGCCTCCCGAGTGTATTTGTATCTCTTATCCTCTTCTCTGCCATACTTGGCCTTCTCGTCTTCTTTACTATATCGGCCCCTCTCGTCATCCTTTCTAAATCTATATCTGTCGTCCTCTTCTCTATACCGATCATATTCATCATCATCTCGGTTTCTATATCTGTCCCCTTCATACCTGGATCTCTCCCCTTCTTCCTTCCTGTACTTATTTGTGTATTCATCGTCTTTCTTGTAACGGTTTCGTTCATCATCATCTTTTTTATACTTCGCTCTCTCTTCCTCTTTCATCTTGAATCTGTCATCATCCTCCTTGTATTTCAGTTTATCTGTATCCTCTTTCTTGTATTTCTCCTTAAGTTTATTCTCACTCTCTTTGACATTCTTGTACTCCTCATCCTTGCTGTACTGTGGTTTCATCTCCACTTCATTACTGGAAATTTTTCCTCCTTTGCTGTGTTTGGATTTCTTCATATCCTGATCGTCGTCTTCACGTTTTCGTTTGTGATCTGAACTCTTTTGGCTCTCTATGCCAGCCTGACGGTCCAGGTTCCTCCTTTGTTCATAGAGGGGATTTTCATAAATTTTTGCCTGTTGACAAAATCAAACACATATGAGGCAATCACATTTGGTCAAACAAATGAATAAATTGCATTCATATCCCAACCCTAGTCAAAGTTATTACGAATATCATATGTGATGGTTACCTTGTATCTCTCATTGTGAGTATGGCAGGTGACATGGGCCTCAGCACAAATGGGATCACCAACAAACTCTTCACATAACTGGCAGAAGAATCCCCTCACAGGGATCAAGAACTCAGAGCCTAGAAGAGGGAATACAACAATAATTAAATATCTACCAATAGTGTGTAAGATTTTTGACGGTTGATAGTTTACCCTTGCTCTGTTCCAATGATGAGGCACACTGCAAGAAAACTACAGTTTCTATCACTGCAATCAACATGGCACTCATTGGGGAAAGGAATCATGAAGAATTTAACGATTCTGGTTCACTGTTCCCCAGATTCCACTTAATGATTCCAGTTCCTTTTAGTTGCAATGCAAATGCATTACTTTATATTTAACATAATGAATCTGTTTTATGACTGCCAATGACATCTTAAAAATGGCATTACCTTTGGCTGGCTTTGAAGTCCTCTTTCCAGCTGGTTGTTTCTTTTCACTCTCTGATTTTGCCCAAGGTCTGTCATAAGGATCTAGAGTCTATATAGAGAGCAAAACAATGGATGACTGAAGCAGATGCAACTGGCAGAAATAAACATCATTCAAATAAAAAAAAAAAAAAATCTTGTTATATTTATATGAGCACACATACCTTCCTATGGGTTTTGCTGTGCAAATGCATGAAATAATCAAACATTGAACCACTGGTAACATTGCAGTTTTTACACCAGTGGTTTCCCGCATCGTAGTACTCAAACTGCTCAGCAGCAGTGTCCAGGGAATGGCTGCTCAACTGAGGAGATGACTTGGGTTTTTCAGGAGAGGCTCTTGCTTTTGAGGAGGGTACCTACATTATTTTAGGCAGTACAAAAAAACGCATAAGTAAAAGTCAAGCAAAAATATAAAAAAGAAAAAAAAGTTATCAAATACTCGAGGAACCCAAGTTTAAAAGAATGAGCAGAAGCTTTTCAAAGAAATGAATACAACACTTCAAATCCTAATTGTCAATCATTAAAGTTTGTCACAGGACACTTACCTTTGCAAAATAGGCCATCTGTTTCCAGTCGGGGAGAAGTCACCCAATGGGTTTACTACTTGAATTTAATTGACTATTGTAAAATAAATGGTTTCAAAAAGCCATTGAAATGGATTTTATATTATATAACAAATTAAATTATTTAAAAAAAAGCACCAATGCAAAAGGAGGACAAGAAATTTCAAGATTTCAATACACTTTTGCAGTGTACATACATCTTTCGATTTTTGATAAATAAATTAATATATTTCTTATAGCAGAAACCCAAAGATTTGTCTTAAAATCAATAGTTCTGATCACTATTATAAAGTATAGGTATGGAGTAGTTTTAACTGGTTACATGCAAATTAAGAAATAATTATCTACCATAAGTAGACAAGCTGTGTCAGAATTACAATATTCTAGTCTAGTCTACAAACAGTTATGGTTTAGGCCAGTGTAATTATTTAGCAGGAGTTAAAAACATTGTCTCTACCTTGGAGTAACCCCTCAAAATTTAAATAGAAATTAATATCATTAGAAAATAAGTAACAAGACAAATAGATAATTTTCCCCCACACTAAAAAGTTTAAATACAACATAAATACAAGAAAGTCTCGCAGATATGATTCCAGGAAAATTACTGTACTGTAAACAGAATTGTGATAAGCTATGATACCACCAGTGGTACACAAAGTACCTCAGGTGGCACACAAATCTGGAAAGTTACAATACTTAAACCAGGGATGCAGCCCGAAGCCGAAAATTATATTCGCAAAGGAAATGACTACTGAGCCACTAAAGCAGGGATGGGCAATCTCAGTCCTGGAGGGCCTCTGTCCTGCAGGTTTGCTGCAACCCTGATAAAACTCACCTGACTGTAGCCTTCTAGTAATCCTGAAGACATTGATTAGCCGTTTTAGGTGCGTTTGATTAGGTTTGGAGCTAAACACTGCAGGAAAGCGGCCCTCCAGAACAGAGTTTGCCCATGCTTGGTCGGAAGAGACATGGTAATGGAAAAAAAAAAAATACAAGATGGAAGGAAAAAAATATATACATTTCAATGCTTTTGCCTTCTCTTGCAATTATATACTTTGCAGGGATCAGGGATCCGCTATCAATATGCTAGGTATTGATAGCTTTTAAGTGCATGCTTACACGTACTCTTGTGTATAAGGAACAGAGGTACTGACCACTCATTTAAGATGATAAGATTGTCAGTGATGCTCAGGATTATTTCTGCACAAAAACCTTGACATCATCCTGTTAGTAATTTATAGACCTATACAACTTAAACATAGCTTTGTGCATCTAGGACTCAATGCATAGGCAGGATGCAAATTGGTGTGGTGTTGACCAATCTCAGTCTGCACATTTTATTCTATATGTTATAAAGAGCAATAAAAAGGTAGCATGTTATTCTGTTTACTCTCAAAGTAAGCATTTAGGTGCTAAAAGTAAAGGCAAGCTTTGAAATCAATGTTACATGTCAGTGTATGCATATTTTAATCCTTTCTAACAGTTACTATTGAGGCATATTCCTGTTTTTAAATGTTACTTCTCGGGTTCCTTCCACAGATCTGTAAAGGCATGCAGCATGATCAATCAGGAATATCTCAATCAAAATATGGCATTATCTAGTCCTTAACCTAGCATTCAAAAAGATTTGTTCAGTGACTATGGCTACGTTCACACTGCAGGCTGAAACGACCTAATTCCGATTTTTTTGCCCCTATGCGACCTGTATCTGATTTTTTCATGACAGTCTGAACGACACAGATCCGATCTTTTCAAATGCGACCCAGGCCACTTGGGTATGTGGTCTAAATCCGATATGTATCCGATCTTTTGAAATGCGACTTCAATCTGAACGGCCAGGTCACATATATCCGACCCGCACGTCATTGCAAGCACCTTTAGCCAGCCAATACACGCTAACTCCAACGCGTTTCCTCACTGTTATGGGCCACTGCAGACGTGTCTCTTCCCCAGTGTTGTGCCTGAACGACGTTCAATGAACGATTGTGCATGAACGCGTTCATATTTTCGCGTATCATATTATTCACGTTCGCCCGAAATAAACATACTGTATTACTGCCTGATGAGCATTACTGTGAACACGTTCATTCTGGTGTACGTGAACGTGCGCTCTCTGTCAGTATAACTTTGTACAGTAGGGTGCCAGATATAGAGCCTTCCAAGCGAAAACCTGGCTAAAACACATGTGAACATGCCTTAAAATGTAGCGAATAACCACCCAATCTGGCAACACCAGCCACCAGTGTCGCACCGCGGCCGCCGGTGACAAAGCAAGGAGCGCCGCGGACACGCACTATCAATTAAACGGGTTTTATGGCGAGGTCGGTGAGGATCGGAAAAATCTTACATTTATGTGCAAACTGCCCGTCGATAAAATAATTATTGTCTGTGTTTGTATATGGGCTTGACAATAATAATAATAAAACAAAAGCTCGCAACATATGAAAAAAAAGAACTATTCTGCAAACAACAAGTGACGTCTTTGACCGTTGATTACTCTTCTGCGCATGCGGGTCACTTCTGGGTCATTTCACGTTCACACAGGAGATCACAAAAGGTCGCATTTAATTGGAAATGTGAACGGCCTTGCAAAAAAATCGAATTTTTTCAAAAAATCGGAATTGAGCATTAAGCCCTGCAGTGTGAACGTAGCCTATGTGATTTTTTGGATGGTTTGATTTGATCAAAGGTGATACCTGACCGGAAAAGTTTGAGAACCACTGGACTAAAAAGCATCTGTGAAAACAATTACCAAATACATTTCAGCCTCATGACCACCCCATGAGCCGACCCTCTATGTCAAAGGTCTTCAATCAAGCCCCTGTCCTGCAGAGTTTAGTTCCAACCTGCTTCAGCACACATGCGTTTGTATTTTCCAGAGATCCCGAAGAGCTTGATGAGCTGATTCAGGTGTTTGATTAGGGTTGGCACTAAACTCTGCAGGACAGTGACCCTCCAGGAGCAGGATTAAAGACCTCTGCTCCATGTAAAGTAAAACAGTTTTAAACAGGCTACTGATATGACAGCAGCATTCATCTCATGTGAACATTATTTTTAAATACTTTCTTTAGTTTAAATTATTTCTTTTGGGCAGTGTTTTCCAATCATGGTCCTGGAGTAACCCCACCACAGCACATTTTACAAGTCTCTCAAATCAAACACACCTGATGCAACTCATCAGCACAATAGTAAAGACTTCAAGACCTCAAATAAAGAGACATCAAAAATGTGCAGTGCTAGGACCAGAGATGGGAACCACTTCTTTAGTGCTAAAACTTGAGAAAAAATTTGAGATGGTTCTTACTGCAGAACATGAAATCCACGGGGAAGAGTCGGATCCAGATCCAACTCCTCCCACCTTACATATACCTAAACTCCACCCCCTGGTCCCTAAACCCACCCCTAAACATACCCAGCTCCACCAACTGATCCCTAAACCCACCCCTAAACCTACTTAACTCCACCCCCTGATCCTTAACCCCACCCCTAAACCTACTCAACTCCACCCCCTGGTCCCTAAACCTACCCAACTCCACCCCTGGTCCCTAAACCCACCCCTAAACCTACCCAGCTCCACCCCCTGATCCCTAAACCTACTCAACTCCACCCCCTGATCCTTAACCCCACCCCTAAACCTACTCAACTCCACCCCCTGGTCCCTAAACCTACCCAACTCCACCCCCTGATCCCTAAACACACCCCTAAACCTACCCAGCTCCACCCCCTGATCCCTAAACCCACCCTAAACCTACCCAGCTCCACCCCCTGATCCCTAAACACACCCCTAAACCTATCCAGCTCCACCCCTCAGATCTGAATCCGACTCCGCCCCCTGAATCTTGTGTACTGCGATGAAGTGCTACTGACCATAAATATGATTCACTTAAAAATTGCTTAAATGTTTTGTGGAATCACGGTCAAGAATTAAATGGCACTTGAGATCATTTTTGAATTGGCAGCTTAATGGTGCATTCAACTGCTTCTGGGAAGTTTGTATTTACGAGTTTGGAAGTCATGTTTATGACATGGTCCGTTCGAGTCACTTTCATTGGAGGTGGCAGTGTACTTTCTCTTAACTAACTACACAAAAATACAGCAAGGTTTTTAAACTCTACTTCTAGAAAGTAAAGAACAAAAAATGTGCATCAGGTGGGTTTACAATTATTTAAGAAGCTGCTGTAAACTATATTGAGGTAATCCACCTGGTTTCTCACTGACACGCCCCAACTCGTAAAGACCAGGGGCCTGTTCTTCGCACGTGGATTACTCAATTAGCTGGATTTCATTGTTGACGTGATTTGACATGATCCAGGATTATTAGGTTCTTTGAAGCTCATCCTAAAGTTGCTTTTATGTCATGGCAGCAGGTCCATAAACTCAAACCTGCTCAGGGACAGGCTTATTTAATGTAAACAGGATTAGATCGCATCTTTAAGCGGAGGGGATACTAGGTCTAGAAATTTGCCAACTTTTTCGTCAGGTGTGTGATGTTCTGTTTTAATATGATGTCATTACGCTGCTGCGCCAGCCAATCATTGCATTGCTGATCACACTTTTGAGTATCGATATATCTGCCCTTACTAATGAGTACAAGAACACGCAGTAATCTCAACCTCAATACAGATATTTAAATAAAATCTGCAAATTCGTTTGAAGAACCAAGTTAGCCGGAGATCAGTTATCAGGATTAGAAGATCTGGCATCCGTCAAATCATCTCAGATGCATTAAGCGAGGTACGAAGAACAGACCCCGGGACTCCAACGCTTCCCACTTGTATTTACGACTTTGTGGTGGCGTTCATGAGCGTTCAACTCGTAAATACAATCTTTCCGACATGAGTTGAACACACCATAAGACTTGACGGCCAATCAAGCGCAAGTACCTTTCCTATAACAGAATTAACAACTATACCTTAGTGTACGAGGTGCTGGTTTTGGCCCCTGATTTCTCTGGGCTTCTGGTTGAATCCTTCTTACTCTGAGGGGGCTGCTGCTCATAGTCCCCAGAGATCTTCGATTCTTTGTAGTCTATACCGAGAATGAGAGCCACTTTGACCAGCTCTTCGTGTTTTTGATCTGCTTCTCTCTGTTCAGCACGCAACTTAGAGATTTGGGCCATCGCATCCTCTTGGAGCTCACCGAGCTCTTTAAGAAGAGGGTCCTTGTGTCCATCCTTCTCCCTTCGCTTCTTTCGAAGAAGCTCCCCTAAAGGATCAAAACAAACACTGTATATAACAATGAGCCCTTAAATATTATACAGAAAACACTTCCAATATGCAATTAGAGGGAAATACCTTGCTGCTTTCTCAATGTCTCCACATCCTTTAAAAGATTTTCTTTTCTCTTGTGTCGCATTATTTTTTCCTTTTTTAGTTTTTCAAGCTCCTCCATGACCTAAGATAGAATTTTATCATGAGGTATTTAACAGTTTTGCATCTGATCAAAGAAAGTCCAAGGAAAAAATGTTGATTCCAAACCCTACAAATGCAATAGTTCCTTTAATTTCAAGGCAATTACCTTTTGTTTTTCACTGGCGGTATTCTTATCTTCCATTTCTTTCATCTTAATGTCAGTGGTGATCGCTTTAGAGGCCACAGCATCCGATTTAGAAGGTGCTAAAAGGATAAAAATCATGTTAGCTTAATTGTAATGTCCCAAGACTAAGGCTATGTTTACACGGAAACGATTTTGAAGAGAAAACGCAAAAGTGGCGTTGCTTTATTACTTTTTATTCTGTGTTTAGACGAGCGTTTTGGGTGGGAAATCCGCGTGCATATGGTGACGTAAAAGTGTGTGAAATTCAATGTAGTATGCACTCCAGGCTGCTAGGTGGCAATGTGGAACACTGCCACATAACAAGTCCGCACGCCTGCGTACAACCATCACTGTCAAGCAGATTTTTGCGTTTTTACTCTTTACACAGGACCACGGAGGGTGGTTTCACTTTTTTGAGTTTTTAAGCCCCAAAAGCGCTGTCGCCGTGTAAACGAAAGGCATGTCCGATAAAATATTTTTATGTTTTCCCCTGCGAGCGTTTTCGTGTAAACAGGGCCTAAATCTCCCAAAAATCTCTCATCATTTGCTCACCAACATGTCATTCTGAAACCATGACTTATTTCTTCTATGCAAAACACAAAAGGAGACATTTTTCAAGAATATTACCAGGGCGAAAATGCTAAGGTCACTAATTTTGAAGGTCACTAACCTTTTTTATTGTCGTTTTTACTCTCACTTGTCCCAGGTTTGATCACTTTAAGAAAGGGCCGCTCATAGGTAGGTAGGCTGTAGGGATCCATTGGACTGGGAGGAGGTACTGACATACCTGGAGGTGGGTACATCGGCCATCCCGGGGGCATATATGGAATATAATTGCCATATGCATCGTAACCGTGTGGAGGGAAGTCAGGTGGCATTACTCCCCGTGGGGGTGGGTATGGGGGCACTTGATGTCCCGGGAGGCTGGGTTGGGAAGGATATGCCTGTGTCCCAGGACCCACAGTGGGTGTCGTAGGCCATCTGCTTTCTGTGACGGCAGGTTGAGCCTCTTTCTTGTTCTGACTATGTGAGCGTTGAGATCTTTGTTCTGGGGAAACTTGCTTTTTCCGGCTCTGTTTTGAAGTGCGATTGAAACTGCTACTTCGGCTTCGGCTTGCCCTGCTTCTGCTTCGGCTGCTGCTCCGACTGCGACTGGAGCTCCTGCTGCTTCCACTGCTGCTGCTGTAACTCCTACTACGACTCCGGTGCTTTCTATCCGACTGCCGGCCAGCTGGTGTCTTCTTTGCAGGGGTGGCACCGTGGAGGCGCTCTTGCGTCCTGGCGGCCATCTTGCTTATTTCGGCCACACCAAGGTCGAAGCCAATTGTTTTCAGCAAATCTTGTATCTTCTCATATTCCTCTACCTCCTTCCTTACCTTGACATCCTGTGGCCCAACCCCAGGTGGGAAGTCCTCAGGTTCTTCCTTGGGATGCATCTCAGGTGTGGCCGAGGAACGATGCCTGCTGTCTCTCTGCGAATGGCTCGACACATTTTCTGCAGCATGGCCATAAGCGTAAGGCGCAGAGCCATGTTCTCTTCTCTGACTATCACAAGACTGTGGGAAACTTGTGTCTGGAAAGCTGGAATCTGCTGGAACCTCCTTAGCAGGTTTCACCTCATCACCCTCTTCATCTCCATAGAGAAATTTCTCTTCATCTTCAATATCTGTAAGACTCTTTTTCTGAGAATGGGCTCCTGCTATCATTCCAAGCAACTCTGTGAGTTCTGCCTTTTGTCTCCCTTTCTCGTGAGAAAGGAGCAAGTCACTTCCACCCTCTCTGCCTGGCTGGAGCTTGCCAATCAGCTCTTCAAGAACATTACCATCAGAAGCTTTCCCCAGTAGGGATGCAAACAAGTCTGAATCCATGGTTTTGGAAAGTGCACAGAGAAGCTGTTCTGCCTCATGCGAAAGCCCACCGTCTGGATTTCCTCGAGGAGAATCACTATTCTGAAATACATTGGTTAAAGCATCCTCAATAAATCTTTCTTTACTTTCAAAGAGTAACATCAACTTAATGTCAACTAAAGCCATAGTCACATTAGACTTTGAAACACGGACATTTTCTACAGACACATGCCACAGTCTGTGGCTATTTAAAAAACCTTTTATTTTTATGTTTTGGATGTATTATATGTATTACTTACTCTGCTTTACTGCAATCCAGCAGATTTACAGTTTGCATTCTTTTAATTTAGCTAAGAAGTCAAGCTATGACACATTAATCTTCCATTGGTCACGTGTCTTTATGCAATACAAATTTGTAGGGCAGATTTCACCAAACTTGGTTTCCTGCATCCCACACTCACAAAATTGGAAGTGAATACAATGAAGTTATAGGACAGGGCTATTCAATTAGCTTCATTCGAGGGCCGCATTATTAAATCGAAAAGTTGAGCTGGGCCGGTGGGTTTAGCTTATTTATTGACACATAACAGTATCAATAAGTAAGCTAAACTAAACAAAAAAAAAGGTTTTGCATTTACTTGGAAATGTGGTACCCAACAGTATGCAGACCATAATAAATAACTTTTTTACAGCTATATACAAATATATGAATTATACAATATCATAGCTATTGGTAAGAGTTATTTTAATAATATTTATTATAGGCTTAAATTAAAATATCCTGACAGTGAGACTTGTTGTGGCTCACTACCACTGTATAAATATGCCTAAACAGGTAAACAATTATACACACAATGAATTATTATATTCCTCTACCCCCCTAATAAATCTAATGCAAAATAAATGACTATAACATAGTATTCAATATAAATATTCCACATTTCTGCCCAATAAATTATTACATTCATGGTAAATGTTTGTAAGGGTGGTGATAAGGGCATTTATAGTATTCTAACTTTGTTCATGAATCATGTTTCTGCTATTTACCTCTAGTGTTGGGAATGTTAAGGCTGTTTCATCCGATTTAAAACTAGTTAAAATCATTGAGTGATTTGTGGTTTGTAACAGAGTCCGATTGTGTCCGATTGAAAGGCTTCTCAGTGGATGTCGCAACGCTGTTTAATAATAGTGTCCGGGACCGGGAGTAAACGCAACTCCTTTAAGCTTGCGTTCTGTTATCCACTGGACCGTGCTGCCTAGTTCAAAGTAAACTAGTGAAACAACTGAAACCAGCGCTATTTTGTTCTCTATTTGTTCTTACTGACCGAGAAACCGCTTCAGATGATTCAGTGACAGAACGGTCCAAACGAAACCGAATCGTTTCCGACTGTTATGCACGCGCGTTTGGCCAATTCATGAAAACGAAATAGGAATCGAACCAACGAATGATTAATATCGCTGGTTCAGTCGACAGAAATACGGGACACATAATAAGCTGCTGAAATATTTAGACTGAAAACGTTTCTCTCAGTCGGAGCGCTCATGGTACACACAGTGCGTATAGTCATTCAGCTGCATGCGCCACTGCGAACAGAAAATAAGAGGGGGAGGTTGGAGTGCTCTCGGGCCGCATGGAGATGATTGGCGGGCCGCACTTGGCCCGCGGGCCGCCAATTGAATAGCCCTGGTGTAGGATGACAGCCTCTTAATTCTGCAGACCAACTAAAGACCACAACAAAACGTGTCGAACTACAAATTAAAATCCAGCAGAGATGATCCACAATATATCGGTACCATAAAGGTTTTCAGACGACTTTTAATCATTCATACTCATTCTTGTTTTAACATTTAGATAATATATTCCATAATTTAATACTCGCTTAAATAATTAAAAACAATTATCCAATGAATGTCTTCAAACTGCATTGTTAATGTTGTGACCCCATGATTCACTTGTAGCATTTAAAATGACTAAGAGTTTTTTTAACTTTAATTTTACTTTATTTAGACTATTTTTATTATCAGCCATAACAAGAAAACAATTATCATCAGTGTCCAGAATTTATACATCAGGTCATCCCTAGTACTTAAGCCAGGTACTTCACAAGATGTGCATGATTTGAAGGCTTAAGTCTCTTAAATTGAGACTCCAATTCCTGATGTGAAGAATTATTATTTAACAATAATAGCTTTTGATTTAAATGTGACCAGTACATTTTCAATGTCAAAAATTTATTTCCCAATACATAATGAGAGGTAGTTACCTGCACTAGCATGGGAGAATCAGTCTCAGAGGAATCCATCCTTTTCTTCAAAATTGACTTTGCCGGCTTCACAAGCATATCTTGAATTTCCTTGCGTCTCCGAGCCTTCTCAAGCTCAGTAAAGTCCTCCTCTCCCTCCCTAAAACTACCTGTCTTGACTCTCTTGTTGGCGCTGCTGTGACGACTCCTGCTGGAGCCGCTGCTGCTACTGCTACCACTGCGACTGACACTGCGGCTCCTAGCCCGGCTCCTTGCTCGGCTTCTCCCCCTGCTTCGGCTCCTTTCTCGGCTACGGCTTCGTGGCCGGCTCTTGCTCCTTGCCCTGCTCCTGGCCCTACTCTTATTGCGACCACGACTTCCACTTCTGCTTCTGCTTCTACTTCTACTGTAGCTCCTCGCACGAGTTCTGCTCTTGCTACGCGCACGGCTCTTCGCTCGTTCGGGACTCCTGCCGCGACTGTAGCTCCGACTCCGGCTGCGCGGTCGACTTTTGCTGCGGGCGTAGCCAGGACTGCGACTCCTGCCCCTGCTCCTGCCACGACTAACACTGCGCCTCCTCGAACCCCTATCGCTCTGTCCATCATGGCTCGACCTCCGTGGAGAGTAATAGGGCTTATTATAGTGTGATTCACCAGCACCATAATCTCTGTCAACAGAAATCATCACATCATAAAAATGAAACTAAAGTACAAAGCAAACAATTTCACATCTACTCAGTCTTTGGGCTCAAGTAAACATATTTCCATAATTACACATGATTGCTTCAAGCGCTGTGGTATTAAATATTGTAAAACCTAAACACTTATCCCTTAAGCAGGGGTGGGCGACTCTGTCAGTTTAGCCTTAACCCTGATCTAACTCTTTCTAGTAGGACCTGAAGACCTTGATTAGCTTGAGTCGCCTTGATTAGCTTGAATCGTTGAGTCGCCGACAAGTCAGGGTGTTATCGCGTGCAAATCGCGGGCGATTAGCGGACGATTAACGCTCGCCAATCCGATAGTGTGAAAGAGCCAACAACGCATCAAAGACAGCTCGCAGACAGCTCGCAGACAGGTCACCGAGCTCAGAAAAATATCTAGCATGCTAGATATCTCGAGCAGTCGCGCGACTCAATCTCAGTGATGTCATGAGTACAGCCAATCATAGCAACGCATGGGTTGAGGACACCAGGTAAATCTTACTTTTTCTTTTTTGCATTTTTTTTTTCTCAGAGCAGATCGTCGAGCAAACAGTGTGCAGCACTAGTTTCTGTCTGACGTCCATATTCGCGTGTTGTGTTCTTCTCTGCAGTTTCGCGTCATTTCTGGTTCGTTTTATTGCGTGGTTTTTCGTGACAAAACATGGTTTCTAGACCAGATAGAATCGTGTTGTTGTCAACTCGTTATTTGTTTGATTATTTTCAGGATTTAGACCGTACTATAGTACTGAAACAGCTCTCATTGAGTCACAAATGATATGCTCTTATCATCCGATCGTGGTTGTATCTCTATGTAGTGCGTTGTTAACTCGTGTAGTGAGTTACCTCCTGTTGTGGATCAATCACGCTGTGTTGTGTGGTGTGAACAGCTAAACAACTTGAACACTCATGATTTCACTGAGAGCAAGTCATGTAGTGTAAACTGCACAGTTCAGCCCGACATTTTAAAATCATGTAGTGTGAACTAGGCTTTACGCGCACGCAGGGATCTGATTGTTTCACACAGACCGTTATTCAGGAAGGACACCATAGCGCATGATACATTTGACTTCATAAATGGCAGAGAATGTCTAAAGTTTGTGATCATTATATGTTTATAAAGGGAGAAAACAAGATGCAATGTGTCTGCAAACTATACATGGCAGGGCTGCCAACTCTCACGCATTCAGCGTGAGACTTGCGCAATTCGATTTCTCACGCGGCGGAAGTGTCAATCCCTTCGGTCAAATGCCTGAAAGATGAGTTCGTCTATAGATCTACCTGTTGAGCCACTCGTGATCGACTAGTTTTACCGCCGCATATTAATTCGCAAGTTAAAATATCCTGTAATCTAGTGCGAGCGCGTATGCGAGATGTTGAGCTCCTAACCGCGGCTCACGCACGACGGCAGAGGTAAGCGAGCGCGTGCACCCATGTCTCTCTCACGCGCCAGTCAGACCAATTGCGGCAATTCATCATATGCTTAAACTTTTATGTAGTCACGCAACAAAAATTTAAGCATACATTCACTGTATACACCGGGACGTGATGGAGGAACAAATATTGTGAGACACACACACACACACTCTGATGTTTGTCCTGAGAATACAGTTGAAAAAGTCTGATTCTTATTTATAATTGTTTTATTTCCATTTTTTTTATAAATTGTACACATTTGTGTACCTGTTTGGGTTGATATTTTATATTAATTTATTTTTGTTTCCAGGTGGGTAATTTGCTGAAGGTGCAATCCTTTTTTTGTAATGTTGTATTAAGAAGACAAAACTAAGGCCAAATGGGCTTTACTATTTAAGTTTGTATTCAAAGTTGTACATGTTATGGGCTACATGTAACAGTATTTACAGTAAATTGTTTTAACTGTATTGTTATATAATTGTTGGCACTGGCACTTATAAACACTAAATGGGTAAAAATTGCAATAATTAGTTGTGGAGCCAAATGTTGGAGTTGGAATAAATACCTCTATTTTTTTAAAGAAATAAAAGCCAAACACCTTATCATTTTAGTAATACATTATTTGTTTTGGTTGCTTAAAAACACACATAAACATTTGAGTTAAACTTAAAGAGAATGACCTGTTTAGTTGGCTCTAAGTTCATTAAAACCACTATTTCAAAAGCTAAAATGATTTTCTTTTTTTATATTATAACTCAATTAACTTAATTATTATATTATTAACCCAATGTTTTAACTAATTGAAAAAGCTGAATAATCATTCCAAACTTAATGATTAGCTGGCAAAATAATTGATGATTAGTCGATTAATCGTTCTAATAATCGTATCAAAATAATCGTTTGTTGCAGCGCAATACTCGACCCGTGCGAGTCGTGACCTGGAGTTTGCAGCTTACCAAAGACAGCGTTTGAGTGTGCCGAAATGCTTCGGAATGATGCAGTGGTGGATAACATGTTACAAACTGCATCCACAGTGGGACTTAAAATTCTAGGGCTTTATTTTTCCCAAATTCAGTTTTATTTTTTCCCAAATTCCATTTTATCCATTTTAATTTTTGGGAATTCATTTTTTTTTACCCTTGACTATTATTTTAGTCGTAAAAAGAGTGTGCTTTTAAAGTTAATGATTAAAATGTATACAAATAAAATAGGAATGACCTTAAATTTATTGATGTAATTTACTCAGTAGCCTTTTCAGGACAAATACTGCATAATGCAACATAACACTGCACGCCTTAAGTAACAACAAAATATGGTTTTGAGCTTTAAACTGTCCAGTAAAATGAATTATATTAGTTTATATAAGTTTAAATAAAGTCACACTCTGTCTCTCTCTTGCCCAGTGTCGCTCACGGAGTTCATTCTGTGTGTGTGTGAGAGAGACGCGTGACTGAGAGACGGAGGGAGAGCAGGGAAAGGAAGTTCAACTGAAAGAATACGCTGCATGTTTTAAATAGTGTTAAATAAAATAAACGAAACGCAATATGTGGTGGCGAATTAGTCCATGTGTGGGAAACACTGCCTAAGTCACATGCGAACTGCTCGGCTAGGCACTGATGGCTTATAGCGTTGAGTTTCTTAACTTTTTGCCGACGAAAGCGGAGTCGTAGAGAGCCGCTTTGCCATGCTTTCATTGTTTTGATTTCGTCATTGGAGCTGAAATGACGGGTTGGAGGATGTGTCGCCCAGATTTGCTTCCCCCGGTCTGCATTTTCACCAGACATACGTTCTTCTCCCACACAAAAACAGAATTTCAAACCAAATATGCACGTTAATTTGCCAATTCCGTCCGGGATTCCGTGAACTAATCATAGGGCCCTAAAATTCTTAAAATTCTAGGTGAGCACAGGGTGACAAAAACCCTGCTCGTTATAGACAACGCTAGCTCTCCACAAAAAAATAAAATAAAAAGAAATTGTAAGCTTTGTGCCGCAGTCCTAAAAAATGTATTATAAATAAAATGCATCAATATTTAAATACACTGTAAATTAAAACTCTTTAAATGCCAATACAAAAAGAAAAGAATGATTGACTTTGGTATATAGGCCTTAATTTGCTCTTAACATTCACACAAGCGTTTTCGTTTAAAAACAGAGAATTAAAACGAATACGATACACACCAGCGTTTTATCTGCGTATTAAAATTGATCTCCGTCCACATTAAATCGACTGAAAACGCGGATCACGTGACCATTCACCAACACTGGGCATGCGCGTGCCGGTGTAAAAAGTGGCTGATGAATCAGGGAAGGACAAGTCATGACTGATGACACCCAATCATAAAGTCGAGCGTCAGCCTCTGCGTCAGCGTTTCTAAACTCCACCGTTTTGTTCCGTCTTCACTAAAACGCCCTCCGGAGATTCAAAACGCAAAATGGAGCAGCAGCATTTTTAAACTTCTCCATTTTAGGTCTTCGTTTTTTCCGTTTTAGTCTGGACGGAAGGTGCAAACGTAACAAAAGGTCTCTGTTTTTAAACGAAAACGCAGTCGTGTGAACGGGGCCTTAGGCCTTGTGTTACTAAAATGTATTATTGCTGAAATATATAAAATCCTGGGCGCACTGGCGTGAACTGCTGCGCACTCGTGAGTATGTACAGGACTGTGGCGGCGAGATTTTCGCTTAATATATTGTATTTTCTGTTTGTTTCTCACCAAACCCTACATACACCTACAGAACACTTGAAATATGTGACACATTTTGAATCTTTCTTTGGGGGAAAAATAATAATAATAAAAGTAAAAATTTAAGCTGGGGAAGTTTTCGAAATTTAGTTGATTTGACATGGATCAAGTGTTTTAGAATCCATTTTAGTGCATGTAGTGAACATGTAGTGTATTCCAGCCTTAGCAGTCAACATATAGTTTGATCACTAGGTTGCATGTCTTACCGGACATAAGGAGCATCTGCCCCCTTATAGCCTGATGGATGGTTCAGCTCATTCCCCACCGTTATGACCAGACTGTGGTCAGCTGGGAGACCACCACGAGTAGGCGATGGACTGTACCTCTGTTTAAGAAAAACATGCTTAACTCATACATGGCATAAATGAAAAAAAAAAAAAAATCTGGACTTTTACTGGACATAATAATTAATAAATAAGTGGTAATGTTAGGCTCTGATTGATGTCAAGAATCAAGGCACACATGCACTAAGTTACACTATTGTCAACATCATGGTGGAATAATAATACCGTAGTGTTTATGACACTTCAATGAATTTCATCTTTGCATTCGGTCTAACGAATGGCACCAACGTCGTTTTTTTATTTTTTATTGGTACACAAGTAACGTTATGTGACGGAATGAGAGGGCACTACGGTAGTACTTTATATCCATTTACACATGCTATTTACATGATGTACATCCGAAAAAAATGACTACTTTTCAGTGTGTCGGTGTAAAACAAGGCACTAACGCTGTAAGTTAACGTTACTGCCGTGTTTAGTTTCTCTTCATACCCCGTAGCCTCGTTGTGGTCGCGCTCCTCTGTATTCATCGGGCGGATCTCTTGCTCCAGGGGAGTATCTCCTCCGCGGGGAAGAGCGCCGGTACGGGTCTGGAGGAGCGTGGTGTCCCCGGTCTGAAGGATGGCCTGGTCCGGGACGAGGCCCGAAACCGCGAGACGGCGGAGGATGATAGCCGCCTCTGTGCGGCCTAGAACCGCGATACATAACGACGTTTAACCGCTGTTTCCACGTCGGAGTCGAGCCCTTATTATCCGGGTTGCAGGATAGCGATTATCCCTGCAAGAAGTAAATGCGCATACAACAAAAATCTCCCTGAAGAGAGAAAATATGAATGAGAGCGTATTCATTACAGTCGGACAACGCTGTCTGTGGTCGCTTCCTGTGCCGCCATTGGCCCGCATTCACCGGATCTGACGTCAAGCCAAGATCAACCAATCAAACGCAGCGGTATAGCATCGTTTTGTTTATTGAGTCTTCTAAGCACTGTGTGAATATAAACAGTAATATTGTGAAATATTATAACAATTTAAAATAATGGTTTTCTATGAGAAAATACTTTAAAATATGCTGAATCTTTAGCATAATTACTTCATTACAGAAATCATTCTAATATGGTGATTTATTATCAATGTTGGAAACAGCTGTGCTACTTATACTATTCTTTTTTTATAACCTGTCATTTTTTTTCCATGATTTTTTTTAAAGAAAAAAAGAACAGCATTTATTTAAAGGGACTATGTGTAAATTAATGGAATTTATTATTTAAAATATTTTTATATTAAATATTTTTATTCATAAATATGTCCTCAATGGTGTACAGATACCTCTGCCAATTTTTTTTTTTTTTTTTTTTTTTTTTTTTTTTTATAGTTTATTTAGATAGGGACAGATACAGATAACATAGATACACTTTGACAGTGATCTGATGCATGTATCAATGTTTTTAGCCAAAGCTAATTTACAGCATTAGTCCCTAGAAGGGCTTTTTTAGTAAAATGCAATACATGCAATACAATACACGAGCAATACAAAACAATAAGGGCTTTTTGATAAAATGCAGTACAAGAATAAAAATACTAATAGAGAGAAAAATAATGGAATATAATATAAATGCCAAAAAAAAAAAAAAACAAAAAAGGCAGAATCAACAAGAACTAAATATGCGAACAACACTGTTTCTGAATTAACCACAATTATCTGACTTATCCTCATAAACAAAAAATTTATTTTCTTTATATATTATCTCATGGTACATGTAAGTCCACAGAGGCTACCATGTATTCCGCCATCATGAGAGAAACTATAATAGCAGAGAGGGACAAAGTACAAGCCCAAAGCTTTTCCACAATGAAACCCGAGCACGAAAAAAGATTTGTCCATTTTGATGAACAAGTTCGAACAGGAGAGTCACAAACATTCGTCACAGAACAGAGCAAGGCGAGCATTTGAGTTTATAAAACTTAAACTTTGGGTTTTTTTTTTTTAAATGAGTGATCGTTTCACTTGATACGACCCTTATTCATCGTCTGGTGTCGTTTAAAGCCCTTTGAAAAGTTTGAAATTTGTACTGAAAGTGTCTTTTGGACCTTGAACTGTTTGGTGCCCATTGAAGTCCATTATATGGAGAAAAATCCAGGAATTTTTTCATCAAAAATCTTTATTTCTTTTTGACTGAAGAAAGAAAGACATGGACATCTTGGATGACATGGGGGTGAGTAAATTATCAGCAATTATTTTTTTAAAGTGAACTACTCCTTTAAGAATCAGGGCCCGTATTCATAAAGAATATTCTTAGAAATGTGGGTGTTTACACTTAAAATTATAGAAAAAAATCCTAGTAAAGAAAAAAGTAATTCAGAAAGCATCTTAACCCTTAAAAGAGGTCAATTGTTAGGAGTACGGACGAGGACTTTTAAGAGGCTTGAGTTTTTTTAGCAGAGGAGAAAATGGCAGAAAGACGAAGAGGGAGAAGAAATGTGATTGCGAAAATAGAGTTTATAAGACACCCGGCCCGAATGTTCCTTTAATGATGGCCTTGTGTTCATCCAAACACAAGGGCTAACAGTGAACACCGTTCCTCTGTACAGTCGGGCTTTCTCGTCCTTCTTGGTTTCGATTACATGTTTGTTACATTAAAACCAACATTCAAACCACAAAAGTTGCTTTTAGCTGCTTAATAAAAGTATCCTACTTTTAAAGTGCTACTTTTTACTAAGCCTTTTTTGACACTTAAGTCAAAGCTTAATACTATTCTTAAGAGTGTTTTTTAGAAGTGTTATATGGGCCCAGGGCCCGTATAAAACTTCTAAGAAATGCTCATAAGAATAGTCTTAAGCTTTGACTTAAGTGTCAAAAAAGGCTTAGTAAAAAGTAGGACTTTAAGAGTAGGATACTTTTATTAAGCAGCTAAAAGCAACTTTCAGTAAAGTATAAGACTGATGTGCTGACTGAAGTGGGACTTAAGTGCTGTGAACTAAGGACTACAACCCAAAAAATGGATGCCTGCAAGGATGAGGTCACAGCAGCATGACACAAAAATTCATTATTTAATTGAGACATAACAATTATTTCAATGTTTCAATTTATTTAGAATAATTCGTTTTTGCTTTGTGCAAAAAAGATTACAAATAAGTACAAGCATTTATTTCACACAATTTTAAGAGTTTCAACACATTCATTAAATGGACAAATGTGATGCTATTTAAGTAATTAAGCTGATGAATCACCTAAAAATTTCACTCACAGCTGAATATAAAGGAAAAAGGACAAAAGTTGAAAAAATGGATGCAAAAAGAAAACCAAACTGGTCCAAGGAAACAAAGTCATTATAACTTTCATTTCTGCAGTTAGGCATTGTCTCTTACAGTGGGAGAAGTTGAATTTCTGACTAGGTCAGTAACAAAAATAATACCCTGACGATCAAGCCTGTATCGTTTGATCAACTCTCTGTCATCATATAATTCCAACACATTCTTATGTCCTCCTCTCTGCTGCCATCTTGTTACTCCTAACTGGTTAGGAGACCTCTCCAGCTCTCTTAAATAAAGTAGGAGCTGAGACTAACACTTAGGAACCTTTATGAATCACATTTGTTCTTAAGTAGAAGAGTAAAATGAGGACGTTCTTAGAATTTTGACACACTAAAGACAAAGAATGTACTCTAAGCGGATTTATACATACGGGCCCAGGTGTTTTAACTTCTCTTTACTAATGGACCCAAACCCTTTAACACCGTTTTTGTTGTTTTACCAGAATCTGCCACCCTTACCACACCGCAGGCTGTATAGCCTTGGTAACTTTATTGGCTTGATAACTCATTCTCATGAACTGGAAGTCAGCGGTTACTTCAATGGGATTTTAACTTTCAACATGTTTTTAAAATGGAAAAGTTTAGAAAAGATTGAAATGAGCATAATCTCGTTTTGAGAGTTTGGTGGCCTTTCCTGAAGTACTCAACTTATAATATAGAAAACTTAAATGTTCTTAAATGTCTTTGTGGTTGTTAAAAGTGAGACTTAAAAACACCTTGAATGAGTCTGAAACAAGGTGCATAGGTTATTTACAGATCCACTTCTTTATTAACTTTACATTTTCCAACAAAACCAACACATTTTTCTCTAAATAGTGAGGGGAAACATTTACGTGTTGAGCTTTTATCCAAACCAAGCGACCAACAAAAGAAGAACAAAGCATTCATCAAAGAGCCAACAATCATTTCAGTGCACAATGCTGGTTTTATTAAACAACTAGAACCAAATAAAAAAAAAAAAGAGAAGAAATGCATATTTTGCTACCATACAGTACATCAAAATAAATCAAGTCACCAAACAAAAAAGCAGCTCTTGGTCACAAAGCTGATGAATCCCGGTCGGGAGAAGAAGTACAGGAGCATCTCACCATTACTGCTTCAGCTGATCAGGAAATTCCACTTGTAGGATAATAAAACCAATGGAAATGTATAACTTGAATCAATGGGAACCAAACAGACATATCTTCTATTTAAATCACATCACACAAGTCTATGAGGAGTGTTTTTTCACACTACTCATCACCCATGCAGACAATGCTCCCTTAATCAGACTGTGTTTCAGGGCATGTGAGTGATTTTTCCACATGTATATCAGCAAATGGTTGACTTCATGTATGATCTAGTCATCTCTCAATCTCTTGTTGTTCTCTGCTTCAGGTATTCCTGGTTTATTCTTGTAATGACATTATTTAAATAAGCAGGATTCAGAGGAAACTCTCCAGATATCAAGGGTTCCAACACATTTCCATGACTTTTCCAATTAAAAGTGTGTGTGTATATGTATAATATATATATACAGAGTAGAGAAAATGTGTAATATATATATATATATATATATATATATATATATATATATAACAGAGATTTTATTAATTTGATTACAACAAAGGCACAGTCATAGTCCTTTTACCTTAATTCAAAACATTATCCAATTTATGGGTGCTCTAAAAGTACATTTTCCCATTATTATTACACTACACTTATGTGAAACATTTACCTGATCAAATGACGCTCATCAAGCGAGAAACACTTACCTGGAGACGTCCACAGTGAGTTTAACTGATTCTGAATCCAGGAGAGACAGACACAAGATGATAACATTTGCATATGGGTGGAGGAACAAACAGAGACACATACCAAGAAAGGTTAACATGAATGTGATGACATTAAAAGGTTAAAAGGGACATCTAACCCTGGTTTCACAGACAATACTTAAGCTAGTCCCAGACCAAAATGCATTTTTTAACAAAGCAACTTGCACTGATATATTTTATGTCAGTGCCATTGTTTTGTCCCAAGATACACATCAGTAATGTTTTTTTTCCTAAGGCACGTTTATAAAAGCTACTTAAATCTCCTAACCGACCTGACCTAATCCTGGCTTAATCTAACCCCTGTGAAACCAGGCCCTAACTACAAACTAAGATTTTACCTATAATATCTAGAAAATACACTCTTAGAAGAAATGGTTCTATTTAGAACCAGAAAAGGTTCTATCCCCCGCTTCATATATGGAACTCCAAAATGGTTCTATATAGAACCATTTTTTTTTGGTAAAAGGTTCTATTGGCCAAGTATGGAACCCCAGGGTTCTATATCCCTCAGGTGCTCTTCAGAAAAGAAAAAAAATTCTGTTTTGAAATTTTAAAAATCACAGCTTCATCGGAATGTTACAAAACTTGGTGACTTTTATGGCATTGGGTATGTGAACACAAAAAAAAATTGAGGTCATGATCCGAGCAGGCTAAGTGGTCGTAAAAAAAATAGTCACACTTGTGCTCTTCGGTCAAAAATGACCGACCCATAGGAAATGAATGGGAAATTGACAAAAACACAAAAACTTTGAGAATTTTTTTGTGTACAATCTACAAATCGGCCACGATGCAGAAAAAAAGTGCTCAGCATTGAAGGGGTGACACTCTAAAACATCAAGAGTGCAAAACAGACATACCCACCCCTACGCACACACATACACACACACTTTTATACACAAAAACACCAATAAATTGTGATTAAAGAAATCTGTTTTGAATATTTAAAAATCACAGCTTCTTCAGAAAATTACGAAACTTGGTGACTTTTATGGCATTGGGTATGTGAACACACAAAAAAATTGAGGTCATGATCTGAGCAATTTAAGTGGTCGTAAAAAAATGAGTCACACTTTTGCGACCCATAGGAAATGAATAGGAAATTGATACAAAAAAATATCTGAATTTTTGTATGTACAATCTACAAATCGGCGACAATTCTAAAAAAAAAAAAAAAAGCACACCGCAAGAAAGGGGCGACACTCTACAACATCTAGAGTGCAAAACAGACACACCCACCAACACACACACACATTCAAACACACTTTTATACACATACACACCAATAAATTTTGATTACAAAAAGTATGTTTTGAATTTTTAAAAATCACAGCTTCATCGCGATGTTACGAAACTTGGTGACTTTTATGGCATTATGTATGTGAACACATAAAAATTGAGGTCATGATCTGAGCATGCTAAGTGGTCTTAAAAAAAATAGTCACACTTGTGGTCTTTGGTCAAAAATGACCCCATAGGAAATGAATGGGAAATTGTGTTCACAAAATTGTGAATATTTGTTTTTTGTAATTTTTTTTATAAGAAATAGTTTTTGAGATTGTTTCAACTATATATACACAAATCCACCAACAACAAAAATGTGTTCATAAACAGCTGGGGAATTCACATGCTTCTCCATAGAGAGCTGTACATGCCATCAAGTGGTTACACCATGATTCTACGCTTTTTCTCTATACTGTAACCAGATGGTGCTAATTTTCTTCAAAACATATTTTTTTTCTGAAGGGCTAGACTCTATATTAAACTAAAATACTGCATTAATATTTTTTTGAAGAAAATAATATATATATATAGAAAATAATATATATTTTTCTATGGCAAAAATAAACCATAAATATTGCATAAATATTAATAAATTTATTTAAATTGTCTCAAAATACTAAATAAAAAAGAATAAATATTATAGAACAAAAATAAATTGCATTGGTTTTACTGGGATGGAGAAAGTTTCATTTTTAGGTGTCCAGTCACTTTTGACCGGGAAGATAACAAGTGTGACTCCGAAACGAAGAGCACCTGAGGGATATAGAACCCCTTTTTTAAGAGTGTATAGAACCTTTTAGGGGTTTCAAATACATAGCGCTGATAGAAGAAAAGGTTCTATATAGAACCTTAAAAGGTTCTAAGAGTGTAAGCAGGCACCGCCCTGTGTGAACTTCTCTCTAGTCAAGTGGAGTAAAGGTCTTGGTGTGTGTGTGGGGGGGGATCATCTCATGCAGTTTGTGTTGGAAATTTTAATGGAGAAAAATGTCAGATTTCCTCTTAGTGAAAGTGTTTTTATGGGAGATGGGAAACCTTGTGATCATTTTGTGATCATTACTATTTCGTGTTCTTAAAGGAGTGGTTCACTTCTAAAAAAAACTTTTGCTGGTAATTTACTCACCCCCATGTCATTCAAGATATCCATGTCTTTCTTTCTTCAGTCGAAATGAAATTAATGTTTTTTTTATGAAATCATTCCAGGATTTTCTCCATATAATGAACTTCAGTGGGAACCAAACGGTTCAAGGTCCAAAAGACAGTTTCAGTGCAAACTGTTCAAGGGGCTTTAAATGATTTTAGACGATGAATAAGGGTCTTATCAAGCGAAACGATCACTCATTTAAAAAAATATATATATATTTTTTAAAATTTTATAGCCTTGCTCTGTTCTGTGATGCACGTTCATGACTCTCCTGTTCGAACTCATTTATCAAAATGAACAAATCTTTTTTCGTGTCATTTGGTTCATTCAACGAACGAAATGAACGAGTTGACTCTGGAAAAGATTTGTTCATTTTGATGAACGAGTTTGAACAGGAGAGTCACATCAAACAGAGCAAGGCGACCATTTGAGCTTATAAAACTTTTTTTTTAAAGACCCTTATTCATCGTCTGGAATCATTTAAAGCCCTTTGAACAGTTTGCAGTTTGCACTGAAACGGTCATTTGGACCTTGAACCATTTGGTTCCAATTGAAGTCCATTATATGGAGAAAAAATCCTGGAAAGTTTATCAAAAACTTTAATTTCTTTTCGACTGAAGAAAGAAAGACATCAACAAAAGTTTTTTTTTTTTTTTTTTTTAAAGTGAACTACTCCTTTAATAGTGACATGCTTGTACTGAAATGTCAAGTTGAAATGTAGCTCTACGCAGGTAAAAAAAAAAAAAAAAAAATCAAGCAGTCTATTTAGCAGATATTTAATGATTAAAAATGAGAAATTATCTTCCAAGATGAGTTTAACCAATCAAATTTAAGATGTTATTTTTAATAAATGTGGGAGCATTTTTCTTTTCAAGTCGCTTTGCAGACTCTCGATAGATTCTCCAATAAAGTATGACTGGTAACACTTTACACTAAGGTCCATTAGTTAACATTGTATTAACTAACCATGAGCAATACATTTGTTACTGTATTTGTTAATCTTCGTTGATGTTAATAAAAATAAGGCTGTTCATGTTAGATCACAGCGCATTAACTAATGTTAACAAGATTTTCTAAAAAGTATTAGTAAATATTGAAATTAACATTTACAAAGATTAATAGATCCTATAGGTGTGTTGATTATTAGTTCATGCTAACTAATGTTAACTGATGAACCTTATTGTAAAGTGTTATGATTCAATCTTTATGGTGAAACAAATAACAGAAGCTCAACAAGTTTGAAATATAAACAATGAGTGAAACCAATCACTGGTACAGTTTTTAGCACAAAATTAAAAACTACCCCGATGGTACACAATACCGTTTGGATTTTACTGATCTAAAACTTTAGAAATCATTGCCATTAATAATAAGAAACTTTTCTAACAGACCCAGATTGCATTCGAATACTTTTTTTTTTTTTGTTTATCATTTCATTCAGCCGATTTGTGGAATGCATTTAATCATTGTAAAATGGAGCGGTCGCTTCCTGCCATCTAAATTTACAAAAATAAATCATGCAAGGGAAGGTATGGATAACTTTGTATCATACACATGGGTTTAAAGATATAAAGCAAAGTTTATTTCTAATCAAAAGACAACAGTAAGGTAAGGTGATTCAATTGTCTCGTCTTTATTTGTCATTAAACTAAATTTATAAAACAGAACAAGTAAAAACTCAAGTCTAACATTTTCAAAATATTTTTGTAATATGCATGTATAGAAAAGAAATGATTTCATTCTACATAAACTGTATAACAATAAAATTTGAAGAGAAAAAAACAAAACAAAAAAAAAAAACAGACATGGCACTGTACAAGTTGATAGCTGCATTAGCTGAACAAACCGTTTCAGGACTCTAAAACTGCTGGGTCAGATGTCTCTGTCTTATTCGTCTCACGCTCCCATTTCTCCAGAAAATCCTGTAGGTTGAGATTGAAGATATCAATGCCCTTCCCAGAGAGGTGAACCCCATCTGGTCTGTAGTGTCCCAAAAAAGGACTTATGTTGCTGTGGCTCAAAGAAGTGCCACTCAGTCCCAGCATCATGTTTTGTACGCAGTCATTAATGGTCATACGAATGACATCCATTTCTTTGCTATCTTCTGTACCCCTCCAGGACTGTCTGTAAAGGATGCTGGACCACACCAGCAGGCATTGGGGGAATATGCTCTTCAACGAGGTCATATCTTTCTTCACAGTCGAAATAAAGGCTTCTGGGGAGGTGGTGGAAATGTCATTTCCACCCAAGTGGATTATAAGCACATCCGGTTTGGGCCAGTTGTCTTTGAGCTGGAGCAGCAAAGGTACAAGCTGCTGCCACGTCATGCCCTGCACGCCCTTCCAGCAAACGCGCACACAGTTCGGGTGCATGCCCAACTGCACTCCAAACTCAGGCGAAGTCGCCCTCTTCTCAGCCCAAAACACAAGAGAGTGGCCACATATCCACACATTCTTTATCTCACTGGGGGAAATTTTTCCTGTAAATATGTTACAATATAGGGTGTACATTAACCTCAACAGGCTTGACCAAGTGAACATTTGTTTTGTTTTTTAAAATGGTGGTCCACAATCTAACATTATTTCAAGACCTACCAAGTGATATTTATAACAGAAGACCTGTTCCTAACCCTATCTAATCTCCAGCTAATTTGGGCAAATAATAAAGAGATTTAAAGTACAATTAATCTTATCTACCATCTGATCTGCTGATTTGCGATAACACATGTCTACACTGGATGCGACTTGCGTTGAGTCGGTACTAGAAGCATTGAAGCTAATGTCCCAACTACTCCCTAAATCAGGGGTAAATCCTCATTTATTTTCAACAAAAATCCAGTGGAGAAAAAAACTGACTTGGCATGAGCTATTTAAGAATAGCATTTATGCTACTTTTGATACAATTGCATTTCCATTTGGAAATAATTCACCAAACCACAACTTTGAAGTAAAGGTTTGGTCACATTAACCAAATTACGCAGAAGACACTTCAAAACCCAAGAAGTCTGTTGGTCAATGAGGGAATATTTGTGTAGTCTGATTGAAATTACTGGATTTCACCGGCAAAAATTATCAGGGCGATGTTAAAAGTTCAGTAAAGCATTTAGACATTATAATGTGATTTTAAATATTGTGAAAATGATGTACGAAACGATCTAAAAGGTGAAAAAACAAGACCTTTTTGTCAACAGAAATTGCATCCCAACATGCTGTAACGGAGACTTCCGGTGTAGACAGCGCCACTGAATATAATGGCAAACAATCTACTTGTAATGCGCACATCCAGTGTAGACGGTGTTTCCAGCTTGCTGTCTGAAAAATCTAATACTTATAACAACTATTACCATTGTTTTCACAATTTAATCAAGATACTAATTTCATGGTCGGCTATTAAATAAATAACCCATTAATCTCCACCATGGATCGTGGAAGGAGAGGGGGTGCTCAAGCCCAGGTTAATTTTGTAGTCTGGTACAAATATGGCATATAAATAAATGCTTATATCACAAATAAAGCATCTAATATTTCTGACATCAAACATACTCATATTAGCAGTATTTGTAATATTAAAACGTATGTCAACAAATATCAATATTTAGTACAACGTCATTGGTTCATTTAGCCGGCGCTAATTTAAGAACCACCAATCAGCATCTGTTTTGTCCAGAATACTTCAAGCCATTATATATAGTGTGAACAATATTGTAGAGACATCACCCATGTTATGATTAAGAATAAGCAGACACTAACAACTCTGCTAACCCCAGACTTTTGATGATACAGTTCATTTGGATGCCAAATCTAGCATCTATTTGCTAGATGCAAACCCCCTTTTGATACATTCCATGATCCATGATCCCCACACTGCAAAATAATGTTTCCTGATCTCAAGACAAAGGACTAGGTTAGGACTAAGTAAGCTACATTATGATCTCATATCGTCCCCGTTATGACCTAAAAACTACCTGAATAGATCTTTCTTGGGAATAAAAGTACTAGTCTGGATGACTAAGGTTCTTGCAAGACAAAAGAATAATATATTTTTTTTTTTTTAAACTAAGCAGGTAATTACATCTGAAGCTCAATAAATAAAGTAGTCAATAAATGCCTGAACCTAAAGACTCTGGCAATACTAATACCTGTAGACGAATTCCGATTTTGTCCACGTGCTCGCTGGGCTTCCATTTGCTGCTCTTTCTTCAGCTTCATTCTCTGGTTAAACTGTTCAAGCTGCCCAGAGTACAATTATATAAGAACAAAACTCTCTCACTGACAAAATTGTGCTAAAACAATCAGCAGATTTATCACAGATTCCAAATGTTACAGGTCCATTTATAAGCTTATAACAATTAGCTCAATGCAACATTGTCCTTGAATAGCTTACAAAATTTGCCATATCACAGAATTACAAAGTTTGACATGAGTATAAAATTAAGTATAACATGTATATTATGGATCCCCCAACAAAGGATTCCACATGTGAGAAGTTTGAAGAAAGATGTCATACCCGTTTCTTCTGCTTAGCTTTGATGTCGTCTTCTGTTATGGTAGCAACTTGTTTATTCTGGGCTTCCTCCGGTGTACTTTTTGCTTGATTGTCTTCTGTAGGCTGTACGCTAACAAGTACGCTGGCAGGACTTGCTTTAACAGTTTGAACGGTTTGAACTGTTGGGACTGTTTTTATTGTTTTGAGGCACCTAACAGGCTTTGTTGGGATTTGCTTAGCCGCTTGGTTATTGTAGGAATCGCCCATTGAGGAGAGGTGGAGAGGGTTGTGAGTAGGTGGAGGACCATAAGGATATGGCATGGACTGTGTAGGCGGCACAGAATATGGACTGGCCATTTGTGCAGTGTACGAGCTATAAGCCGCCATCATATGTGGAGGCATTGCTTGGAGCCCACTAGCATAACCTAAATTAGGGGATGGAGGTACAGTGGCATAAGGGTACATACCAGGAGCCAGACCCCAAAACTGTTGGTCACTGCTTTGGTATTGGAAATATTGGGAAGCAGGATAGGTGGGAACATTGGGATTTGCGGCATACTGGGAACTATCGGGTTGAACTGTGCTTAAACCGGACACTGGTTGGAACGGAACTTGAGAAACCACGGACTGCTCAGACGAAGTTTCGCAAGGATCTTGCTGGTCTGTTGCTGGTTTCAAATTCACTACGGTTCTCTTAATGCTAGTTAGGTCTACATCTTCCCCTTTGAGCTTGTCTTTGTATTTTACAGTGTCCTTATAGCTCATGTAAACCTTACGGTTTGAGGACTGAGCTGGGGAAACAGATCGGACACGTTCAGAGTCTGAGGAATCTGCCCTACTACTACTACCCCTTTGCTCTGATTGGCTCACTGATCGCTCCCTTTTTTGATCATAGGAGTGAGATGTAGCACTGTAAGGTTTTCTCATTTTGCCATACAACCGTTCTTGTGTCCTGTCAGCTAATTTGCTAACCTCTGCTGTGTCTAGATGAAGTCCTATTGTCTGCAGAAGACTCTGAATTTTTTCAAAGTTCTCTGACTTCCTTTCTTTCTCCTCATTGCTTTCTTCGGACTGCTGACGAGCTAAGCTTCTGTCAAAACTACTATCAGGCGTCTCTCTGTCCTCTACACAAGAAACCAGGACATTGGGGTTGACATTCTGGTATTCAACAGACTGACTACGCTCCCTATACCGACTGTGATCATCAGTGTATTGTTCGTGCTGTGTCGCATACGGATCAATGCCCTCTTCATACTGATTCCATTGCTCAGAAAACTGATTTGGATCTTTATGCATGTTCCAATTTTCTGAAACCATCGGCTGCCCATATGGACTATTCTTTTCAGCTTTTGCAGTAGGATCCACACCATACTTCATTCCAACAAGTTTAGAAAAGCCACAACCATCTTGAACAGCTCTTTCATGAGGTAAAAGGTCATCTTTTCTAGGGTCATTCAAACAGGTTTCAGTGTTCATAGGGTTTTTACCTCGTTCTTGGCCAGACCTTAGTTTACCCTTAGCGGAAGGCTGGTCGTTGTCTTCATCTTCCTTAAAAGGATCATATATCTCATCCATGAAGGGTATGTTTCTGTCTAAATGTGGTTGAGGGGGGTTCTGTGTATTCATTGAAGACAGATCCTTTCTTGCCTCTTGAAACAATGAGTTAACAATACTGGTGTCAGCCTTGTTGAGAGCACTAAGGAATCGTTCCATTTGAGTTGTAAGATTGCGCTGTTGACCTGATGGTGAAGTCTGACTTGTTGAAGGGTTACTGCTCTGAGAATGGTCAGGAGGCTGGTGAGATGTTGCCCTCTGTTGGCCATCATGAGAATTGTTACCTTTGGACACGTTGGAAGAGTTCTGGTCATGCAAAGACCTTGAACTGGAGGCTTGCGCATGTGGCTGTGGGATTGCTAGCTTGTTAAAAGGCGGCGATTCACTGACTTGTGTGGCTGCTAAAGACTCGTTTATGATCTGCTTGAAAAAGCCAAATGTACCAGGATGAATGGGCTGTGGGTTTGAGGGCCTGTTGAATGGCAAAGTTGCTGTCGTCAGAGAAGGTATCTTTGTAAAAGTAGAATCATCCTGACATGGTTGACCATATTCATCAACTGAGGTTGCATCACTCTACAAAGATACAAATAAAAAAATTATAATAATTGTTTCCCAAATTACACTGTAGTGACAGGTATCTTTCCCTTAAAACATTGTGCTCATTTTGGCTTCCAATAGCGCTTTTCCACCATTGAGCCAAAGGGTTACTGTTGATGAATCACACCAGTTTCCATTGTGGTGTACGTGACCTGTAGTGGTTTTGCACGTCACTAAAGGCCAATTTATACTTCTGCGTAGGGTGCGCGCAGTAGGTACGGCGTAGCATACGCACAGACGCGTCCCATACCGCGTACCCTTCGCCGTCGCCTGACGCGCACCTCCTCAAAAATGTAACTACACGTCGCGACGACGCGGACCCCAAGATCGGTGATTGGTTGGCTTGGTAGCATCGCATTTTCTCCTACGCATTTCCGCACGTACCTTCTCACGCATTTCCACCACTGTCTATGATTTCCACCATCCGATGTACCATCTCCTCCGATGTCTTCTTTCATTTCTGCCTTTCAGTTTTAGTAATTTCACTAAAGTGAACTGTTTTTCCACCTCAATAAGCTCCAACTCCAACATGATCCACTCTCTTTCAGTCGCTATTGCTTGTAGTAACCTAGCCACGAGGAATCTAAACGCAGTGGAACATTAAAACCCTCCGCCGCCAACTAGCGTTTCGGAGCAGTACTGCAGAGCAACCAAGACCTGAACGCAGAAGTATAAATGCTCACAACGGCGTCGCCTACGTGCGTAGCCAACGCCGTACACTACGGCGTACCCTCGACGCAGAAGTATAAATTGGCCTTAACGCTTTTCCCACCAACACTGTTTTCCAGTAGAGTACAGTTAGCTAAACATGTGGAAATGTTGCTTGTACCGAACACATCATGCTCAGAACTGTTCAGCCAGATGGTGGAAAAGCGCTTTATAAGTGTTTTTTACAGCACTGCTGGGACATCCAGCCAAAACCAGCTTCAGATGGTAGTTGGTTTAATATGGTTTCTAGATGGCCAAAACCAGTAATTTTATGATCAATCAGATGGGACGGACTGTAAAATGGCCATATCGTAGAGTACCATCTTGGCCAAAACCAGGCCCGATAGATGGGGTGGGGTGCATAACCTGCCAAACAGCCAGTAAATACTCTGCTACCATGTTTTATAAAACCTTCACCACCTTAAGCTGGTTTTTCCAACAAGGAGTGCCGATCTTTATATCCTTTACAACGAACAAACCTGAGAGCTGAGAATCTCTGAGCGTTTCTTCAAAATCGATTTTTTCGGTTGAACATCAGGTTTCATTTCCGAGCTCCACAGGTTCCCTTTAGACATTACAAATTTGTCATCTGTGTGCGATTCAAACTCATATTCTGCTTCCGTTTCAGACACTTCCCGTCCAACTTTGACCTTCTGTTCCAAGGCAAAAATCGCTCTTTTGCGTGCTATGGACTCACTGAGTTCATCCAATTGCTTCTTTTTTCTCAGCAATTCTGCATCCTCAACCTGAGGTAAAGCCATCTTCTCAGGCCACACACTGGACATAGTCCTCTCAGAATGACTTTCAAATGTAGAGGAGCCAGGTCTATTTGAGCCAAAAGCACTAGTCTGTTGACGGTATCCCATTTGCATCTCTTGACTTTCACTCTTTGAAAATGGAGCAGTAGTTTCCTTGCTTGCAGAAGCCTTAAAGAATAAGAGACAGTGAGGTATGCAATAGAAAATAAGATACAAAACGAAAGCCAGGAGTCCAAGTAAAAACAAACCTGAGATTGATGATCAGTTTGAGGTTCAGACTGTTTCTTCAAGATGGACTTCACTGGTTTTAGGTCTGGCGTCCACATGTTTTCACGATGCACATGTTGATAATCAAATGTTGTAATTCCACTTTTTCCATCGATCTCAAGCTCAGGTTCAATTTTTTTTGCATTTTGCTCCATAGCAACAATAGCTTTCTTACGTGCAATCATTTCGTTGAGTTCCATTAGCTCTCTCTTTTTCCTTAATATTTCATCATCTACATTGTCAGGGGTTTTAGCTCTGTTTTTGTTGCTTGAATCTTTACTACTGCTTTGTTTGGCATAGCGATCGTATCTGTCGGCTGGGCTGTGGCTTCTCTTCCTGGCACTTCGGGTGCCTCTTTCTTTGCTTCTGCTTCTGCTGCGACTGCAACTCCGTCGGCGCTCTTTGCTATGACTGCGTCTGTATCGACCCTCCCTCCTATCACGGCTGGAGCTATGGTGTCTGCTGTAGTAGCTCCTACTTCGGTCTCGGCTCCGGCTTCTGCTGCGACTATATCTGCGTCTGCCACTTTCTCTGCTTCTGCTTCTGCTTCGACTATACCTACGACGACTACTTTCCCTGCTTCTGCTCCGCACTCTATCCCCTTTGGCTGTGGTCCTCTCTTGTTTAATTTCACTTTCCTTCTTCAGATCTTTTACAGATGACAAAGATGGTGGTGCCTTGTCTTTTCCCTTGTTTGGCTTGCTAAAGATCAAGAAATTGTCAACAAACATCGAATTAAAATGTATTAAATGTTACAACATATTTAAAAAATAAATAAATAAAACGGTGAAAAGTGGAAGATCCACAATGGAAAACCTCAAATATACATATTATATGAATAAGTAGGAAAATTATGATTTTTTTTTTTTTTTTTTGCAGTGACAAGCCTTTGAATTAAATGTTTAAAAGAACATTTTTCACATAACTATTTATTATCATTATGTTATTATTGCCATCACTATTTATTATCATTATATACCATTTATTTTTTTAATTAATTCTTTTCTGTTAGACATACTTTATTTTGTACATTGCAAACAAGTACTACTTCATAACATCTACACACTAATGGGCTAAACTGACCAACTTACTCATGATTTACTCACCCTACATCCATTGATTCACTGCTTTTGTCCTCTGTTTTGACCTCTACCTTCATATATTCTTTTGGATCCTTCAGCAATTTGATGGTCATTTTCTTCTGCAGGCAGCCAAGCAAATGAGGCAGAACTCACATTTAGGGATCAAATAAACCACGTAAACTTAAACTGTTAAACTCTTTACTGTATAAACTAGGGGTTGCAGTAACTAATCAATTAGTTCTGATACAAGAAGTATGCATAGGGATCTTTGCTAACTAATAGTGGATTTATGACTTGAGATTAGCTTATTTCATACATGGTGACAGCAAGAGGAACATTGCCCTTTCCTCAAACTTTGTCCCACTGTTGTTGCATATCATTAATTTGCTATAGTAACCTGTCACAGACAGATATATTCAGAATCAAGCAAAAGGAAAACAGTGAATCATAAATATTGGTAACACTTTACAATAAGGTTCGTTAGTTAACATTAGTTAACTACATTAGTTAATATGAACTAATAATGAATAGCACATATACAGCATTTGTTAATCTTTGTTAATGTTATTTTCAACATTTACTAATACTTGATTAAAATCTTGTTAACATTAGTTAATGCACCGTGAACTAACATGAACAAACAATGAACAGCTGTGTTTTCATGAACTAACATTAACAAAGATGAACAAATGCAGTAACAAATGCATTGCTCATGGTTAGTGCATGTTAGTAAATACATTAACTAATGTTAACTAATGAACCTTATTGTAAAGTGTTACCTAAATATTCATATAAAAAAAACTCATATAAAAGCCAAATAAAAGCCCAAATTCTTGCAAACTACACTGAAGTTAATCAAATGACAAAAACTGAGCAAGAGGGACATGTATTTGTCCACTGACGCTGCACAGTGTATTGGGATTTATTAGGTATTAACCCACTAACACATTTTTTGGATGACCAGTAAATCGAGTAGTCGTGCAAGCCCTAGTATATAAATCTTACAACAAAAAACTGATGTACTGCACCTTCTCTTTTACCCCAAAGGCCTCTAATTTTGGTGCCGATGTGAAGACGCTTTCATTCAGCCTTCTGACTCTAACAGCGTGATTTCCCCCTTCAGCCGCTTCATTCTTCAAATAGTATAGTAATTACATCAAAAAGCTGGATTGACAGATCAGTATCCAAAATGTATCCTTTACTTTTCCAGCAAAAGCCAGAACTACAGTAACAAAATACTGGGCAGGAAAAAATTGAGCAGTTACAAAAGGTTACACGGTAATAATGTAATGCAACAGAGATCGTGATGTTTCATCGGCTGAGAACTTACCGGTACTACTGTAAATTCAACCTTCTCAAACAAAGCGAGTTTGGTGTCCTCCATAACCTCACTTTTGTCAAAAATTAGTTGCGGGTCCTGTGGTGTCTTGATGAACCCAAAATTATCATCCAGCTTGACAACAAGCCCCTAATAGATGAAAGCACGCCGTAAGCAAAAATAAACCTTGAATTACTTCACAAAGATCATTAGCACTGGCAAAACAAAGCACCTGTTCCTCACTGGTTTTGGTTCTTATGCAAATGCTAAAGTGTAGGGATGCACCAAAATTAAAAAACAAAAACGCCATTGTTAGAAATGCATTTTCTTTATTTCAGCTTTGTCCAGAGTGAAAAGGCTTTGCTTGCACATTCCTTTGTATGCAAGTTAAACATCTGTTTCATATTAAGAAGGACCCATAGACTGACAGACAGAGAGAGAGAGAGAGAGTTCTGTCCTTCCTATGTATTGTGTATTACAGAAGCCTTTTGGATCTTAAGGACCTAGAGGAGATCTGACCGGATACTGACCGTCTATTGACTTGTTATATAACGTATATATATATTATGATATGATGTAATGTATGGTTCCATTGGTTAGATCTGGATTACTCCCCTTAAACTTTAAAGGGGGGGGGTTGACTTTTTTTTCTTTTTCTTTGCATGATTGTGTTTATGGGGTGCAATCTAACATGTATTCGTGTTTTTTTTTTCTTTTTTCAAAATACTTATTTTTCATAAACTTCACCTTTATTGTCAGCCGCACTCTCGTCTGTCCACAAACGATCAGTTGACTTCCTTGAGTCTATGAAAACACTCCCTCAGAAACAGGAAGTGGGCTCAGATTGGTTAGTTTGGCCCGGTGTGTTGTGATTGGCTAAACTGACACTCACGTTGCCCGGAAGGTTAACGCTCATTACCTTTATGGGCGAAACGTGCATTTCATAAGCTCCGGTCCAGATGTAAATAAGTTAAATACTGGTGTCGAACTGCAGTATCAATTTGAGGCAGAATCAGACCGAGAAAGCCGCGATGAAGAGAGTCAAACAGAACCTCACCACACACGGCTCTTACTAAACGTTTCTGAATGATAATTTGCTACTTTTTTTTTAACTTTATACACGTTTGTTTTACACAATAGCATCTGACTGGCAACAATAGCAACTGACTGGCTACTAAACAGCGTTGGCATTAGTTTACGTTCTTGATCAAATCGAAAATAGCGTCTTAAAGCACATGAAAAATACGTTTAAAACATTAGTACTTACACAAAATTCAGGTCCATAATGTTTGTACGCGTTTGTCGTAGACACAAAATAGCATAACTCGTAGCCTAGTGGCTATAAAGCAAGCGCTGGCATTTGAAAAAAATAAAACACAAGGCTACGTCTGGAATTATACATGCAAATACATTTAAAATAATGAAGTCTTAGCCTACTTACAGGTTGTGGGCCAACAACTGCTGCCTCTGGTTTTAAAGTCGGAACTGCTTCATGTTTTAGTAACAGTTTCTAGTTGAATCCGGTGTTGAACTCGTGGAGATTCTGGAAGCTGTCTTCCGTAACATGCGCAGCACAGAGAGCTAGATTACGATCGTCATTTTCAGGAACATAATCAAACATAAATTGTATCCATTGTTGACGAAGTACAGCATCCTTGGGAAGCTCGAACACATAAGACCTGACAGCTGCGTGAACAACACACTCGGCGAACTGGAGCTGCTGAAATATGCACATGCCCTTTTCTGCATATTCCGGAGGGAGGGTTGATGTAAATGTGTGGGTTAGTGACGTCTAAAACCCAGCTGTAGTCCCAATCGAGTTGTTTTTGTAGGCAATATACTTCCTGATTCTTAAAAGACAAGCATTTTGCTGGCACCAGCAGGACCCAGGTCAGATGTGATGTGGAGCCTTTAGCTCAACTATGTACTGAAAATGTCTGCCTGATCATCCATAATTCAGTATGCATATAAGAGCCACAAAGAATTTGTGCAGTAATGTTATGTTAAAGAGCACTTACTGTAATAATTTTAAGTCATAAATGTAATAAAATTACCTTTACACCACTATGTGGCCTTTTTACCATTACAGTGTACATGGTTTCATGGTATATTTGGTTTACTGTCTGAGTATGGTGCCAATTTTATTGTTACCACCAAATATTTTACATATTCTTGAAGATGTCTTTAAGTCAGGTTCCAGACCCAACCTTAGGTTATCCAGCCACTCTATTCTCAACTCGGACTCGATTCGATCCACTATTGTCTCGGTCTCGGACGCGCGTCTTTTCTGTGCAGACTGATCTCATGAAGTAGCGTGTGTATGACACGCCAATTCGTATTTCCATTTTTGGCGTGCTATCCAGACGCATAATCGCTTTTCAGCGCGTTTATGAACGCTGTTGACTTAACGTTATTACTGTATATATAAATATATGAGTGTTCCCTTACAATCCTAGGAAAAAAAAAAAAAAGATCGCTCCCCAGATGTAGATGTACATTTTGCTTCGTTTCGCACGGACATTTGACAGCGTGTACAGACACGCGGAATCACTCGGACATTAATGATGTAGACATACACGCGGATAGCTCAAAATGCCTAGAGATAACACGTGGCGTGTATGTTTACACAAAAGTCATGATGTCATGTTGGGTGTTGCGGCTGAACACCGGTAACACCGACTACCATAGCAAGCCTAGTGTCTTCGTAACAGCCAAGCCATACCAAGCACTCGGTAAGGCAGGCGTCTATTGTTGCAGCCTTGAGTACTTTTTTACAGAGCTTCACAAATGTGTGAAAAAAAATTATATCGTGGACTAGTGTTGGGCGATATGCTTAATTTTCAGATCGCCATATCGTCAACCTGTGAGATCGCCGATACACGATATTATCGCGTGGGGGTGGGCGGGGAAATAATTTACTTATTTCCTAATTTATTTTAAAATTTATCGACTTATTTATGTACTTTTTTACGTATTTCACTTATTTAATTATTCAATTCATTTACATTACTTACTTTTAATCTCTGAATGACGTATCGGAAATTTGTATCATTGTCATAATTCTGCGAGCCAAGATGGAGCTGGTTAACAAGAAAAACGTCACTTCGCCTATTTGGCAATTTTTTGGTTTTAAATCAGACGCGAAAGGCGAGCCAGTTGACAGAACACAAGCAATCTGCAAAGTTTGCACGAAAGTTGTGTGCGTGAGAGAGTCTCAAACGACTAACCTGTTCGTACATTTGCGAACTCACCACCCCGCTGAGGCTGCTAAACTAGCGCCAGAAAAAGCTGGAGTGACGGCTGGAAAAGATCCAACACATCAGCCATCCATCGTCGAAGCTTTTTCAAAAAGCACCAAGTACAAATGGAACAGTGAAAAATGGGCCCAGTGCACGGCAGCTGTTTCCAGGTATATCGCAAAGGAGATGGTTTCCTATCATACAGTTGAAAAGGAAAGTTTTAAACAATTACTTCAGACGTTTGACAAACAATACGAGTTGCCTGGCCGCAAGTATTTCGCCAAAACTGCTATCCCTGATCTCTACAATAAAACAAGGGAGATCATCACTAAGGATTTAAAAGAAGTTGACTTTGTCGCTTTGACCACAGACATGTGGTCAAGCATAAACATGTCCGTAACAGTCCATTATATTTCAGAGGATTGGAAATTGAACGCAAAATGTCTTGACACAACATTCGTCCCGGAGAACCACACTTCAGAAGTTCTGGCGGAGGCGCTGACAGAGGTCGTGCATGATTGGGACATAGAAGAGAGTAAAATTTCTTGTGTCACAACTGATAACGGGGCCAATATTGTTGCAGCCATACGGGGGCTCAAATGGCCATGGCTAAACTGTTTTGGCCATAACTTGAATGTGGCAGTGAATTATTCACTACAGAAGGAAAAGGCAAGAACTGAGCGTGCTTTTGGCATCTGTCGTTCAATTAATGGAGCATTCTCTCACAGCTGGCAAAGACGACGAGAGCTCCGCAAGGCGCAGGAACAGCTCAATCTACCACAAACTATGCTGGTAACGGTAAGTCAACGAACAAATCTTAATTTTGTTGGTTTAAAAAAAAAAAAAAAAAAAAAAAGAATCCAAGCCTATTCCTAATAATAATAGACCACGGAAAATAAGGAAAACTTTAATACCTAAAAGGCGAGGGGAATTAATAAGAAGAATGAAAATGAGAATAATTGTTATAATAATAATTAATTATAATATTATTATTATCATTATCATTGTAGGATTGTGCAACTCGTTGGGGATCAACGTATGCAATGGTGGAAAAACTACTGGAACAACTCCCTGCAATCAAACAGGTTTTTGCTGATGACAAGAGCCGTCGCACACTCCCAAACGTAACTTGGCAGGACACTGCTGTACTTGAGGCTGTCAAAGATGGATTGAAGCCTGTCGCAGAATTTACTGATATTTTATCAGCTGAGAATTACGTGACAGTCTCATCTCTGCTGCCCATGCTGCATCATATGAAGGATATCCTGAAGGAGGAGGAGACGGATGTAAAGATGACGGCAGAAATTAAAAAGGGAATCTTAGATAAACTTGAATCGAAATATGACGACAACAGACTTCAGTTGATGCGCAAAGCCACCCTCCTTGACCCACGCTATAAGGGGGATCATATCAATGCCGAACAGCTGGATGAGATCAAAAGTCAGCTTGAGGTTGAGATGGTTGCATTCTCGAAAGCCAAAATCAAGACACCTGTACGCATTAGAGTGGAGGAGGAGGAAGGCGGCGAGAAGGAAGAAACAGAAGTAGCGGGTGCAGCAGCTGAAGTGCAGCCGGCTAAAAGGGCTAAAACTCTAGGAAGTCTTCTGGGCAGAGTGAAGCAGGCGTCCACCACAATTCCCGCAGACCAGCGAGCAAAATCAGAGCTCACATCATATTTACAAGAGGAAGTTATTGATGGTGATGACAAGCCACTGGAATAGTGGAGAAAAAAACGGAAGTCGCTTTCCTTTAATGGCAAACATGGCTCGAAAATACCTGTGCATTACCGCAACCAGCACTCCATCAGAGCGCGTGTTCAGTGCAGCGGGTAACATAGTTACTCCCCAACGCAACCTTCTCAAACCAGAGAGAGTAAACCAGCTTGTTTTCTTAGCTAAAAATCTATAGACATAGATAGCCTACCTGAATGGCATAAAAGTTATATAAGGCTAATTGTTTCTGGCCTTGTGTTTGTTTTAGGAATACGTTTATTCGGGAACATTTGAGGTAACCTAATTATTTTGCTCTTTCTTTTTTTTTTGTAATTTTTATTTATTAAAGCCTATTTTGTTATTTTCAATAGACATATATATTTTTTATACGTTGTCTGCTGATATTTAAGCATTTCACTGCACTTTATTTACTGTTACAGAAAGCCGTATTCTGAAGTCATCGTTAAATTGTTTGAAATAAAGCAAGCTGATGTCATTTTTTATTGTTGACTGATTGTTGTGTGTTCGGACTTCGGCCCTATTAGACTGTTATTATCTATCATTTTAATTACACAATAATATTAATATCAATTTGTTATTAATAGCCTATCAATAAAATTGTATGTTTAGGCTAATGCAATACCCCAAGGATAACGCGATCCCAGAGAACTACACACGGAGATTATTAAATGGCTCATGTGAAATTGTGAATATAGGCTAGGTCTATCCTTGCGAATCAATTTTGAAATTATATGTATGCCTAGTTTTTTTTAATTTTATTTAAACATTTTCACTTAAGAGTAGCCTTGGCCTAATTCTCATTTTTAAAACTCAAATGTGCGTGGTGTTGCAAGTGTCGGTTAGGCTTTGCGGTGATGTTAATGTGAACAATAGGCTATGGGCAAATTAATTGTAGGCTAATTCATTAATTAATAACAATAATATTTTTATTTATTTAATAATAAAAAAAAATATTTATACATTCATGGGAAACGAGCCAAATATCGTACCAAATAAACAGCCATCGGCGATATCTCTGACTATCGTCGATACACGATACTATCGTCGATCGGCACAACCCTATCGTGGACATGGATTAAGAATCCGTTCCCCTGACTTACTAATATGCAAGCATGTTTTACTAATTCTTTCCCTCATTAGGTAAATCAGTTGGCATCAGCAAACTTACAGGAGGTCAGCAGAAATACAGGCCCTAATATTGGGAAGCCTTTGAATATTATGTTGGAAAATGTGGGGCTTTCAAGTCAAAAAGGTTGAGAACCACTGCTATTATAGCTTAAAAAATTATGATATATTTCGAGTAACTGATAGATACTCCAAGCAAAGCTTAGTTAAAGTAATTAAGATCTTAATTTTGGTGCATTCCCTACACTCATGTTTGCCATCAATGACATTTCTTTGCCTATAACTATAATGTCCTATTACGACCTATGGTGCAACAGTGCTACTTCCATCTTTGACCTCTAGATGCACCGTGCTAAGCTAAGACCAAGATATGGTGCAGCTGCGAATCAACTCGTGCAAAAACATCTACCTACATATGGAACAGACTCAACATCTTATGAGAATGGGCCACATCACCATGAAAACAACAGAAAAACACTCACTATCTTCCGCTGCTCTTCTGAGTCTGTCTGGAAAGTTTCTGGCAGGATCTCTACATTGGCCGCCCACTCCTCCTTGGTTAAGCTGTTGGTGGAAATGTTGAACTGGACCTTGTCACCGATCATCATGGTGGCCTTTGTGATCACGTCACCTGATCTAAAAGGTAAGCGTTTCTCAGTGCCCTCCACTGTGGAGAGCAGAAGACCCAAAGTGGGCTCTTGCTTGTCCATCTGCTAAAAAGAAAGAAAAGAAAAAAATAAATAAAAGATGACATTAAAACCCTCCCACACTGGTTCTATGAATAATTATGATCCATGCATTTCATCTTTTCAATCCAACCTGAAGAGCACAAGGGGACTTTCCAAAAAACCCTCTTATGTTCTCAAAATTACTAGGGTGACAAACAGCATGTTTTTCTGCGAGCCAAAAATATTAAAATAAAACTCTACAGCTTATTGTACAGTAAATATAATTTTTCTTTGTGTATTCAATCATTACCACTGCTTTTGCATCATTATAAGCATAAATATTCTGTTAACTTTTCAATAGGAAAAGAGATTACAGCTTTGTAGCACGAATCCTGAATCGCATCGAGTTTTGTTACTTCAGATATGAAACAAGGCCTCAGATTTCAAATTCTGTCAATTTCAAACAATAAATACCATTTTGGCACTCATAAATGTGGCGCGACGGATCACTGTAATTAATGAACAATAGAAGTATGTTGAAAGATACAGTATAACTGACCGAAATCCGTATGTCTCATGTAATCGCTCAATCAGAGTTTTGACAACGGAAAGTAAAAAAAAAAATAGCTTGTAAACAAAATAATGTTTCATTTACCACAGAAAAGCTATTAAATGTTCATAAACATAAGAAAAATGGCCTCTAGAGAGGAGCATTTTGCTAAATTGCATTTTTGCCTAACCTGTTCTTCAGTATGCATGTTTGAGCAAATCTGTCCGCTAATGATGGGAAGTCGACTCTAAACACAGAACCAACTGTCACATACTGTACATTAATCCCACATGTAGCTTACTTTAGAAATAGATAGCAGCCAAAGTACATTTATTTTGCACTACATACCTCTGTGACAGCTTTGTAGTTTAATTGATGTTATTTTGATGCAATAAATATCCATTGGTTTTCGTTTATAATCATTAAACTAACCATAATTTATTAAAAAAAACTATAAATTCTAAAGCTAAAAGCATGTTGTTTAATAAAGGAATTGTATGGCTCTGTCAGGAAAGTGTGTGTTACAACGACTGCAATCTTGTATTAGTCCTGACTCTCTTTTGATGTAAAGTAAATGAGTCAATTGAAAAAAAAAAAAAAACTACAAAAAAAAAAAACTGGAATCGAACACCCCCAATGACAGCCACCATTTAAATGTTTATTTATTTATATATCAGGGCTCAACGCTAAGGATTTTTTCTACTGCCCCACTCGGGCCCCACAGCAAAAAATTAATAAAGACAATAAAATGGGCCTATAAATAAGCCTAGTATTGTTTTCTTATTTTTGATACGTTATCATAATAAATAAGGTTATGACACCAAAAGTTACTAGATGAACTCAAATTAACAGTGATTTTCAGGTTTTTCGATTTTCAGCTAGAGAAATTGAAATGAAATGTATAACTATAACTAGACCAACCTTTATTAAAGTTAATCAGTGAAGAGCAGTTAAAGACGCATAAATAATGTTTTGAAATGTTGAAGATAAAAACGTAAAATAATGTTATTTGAAATTATTTAAATGAAAAGATACTATAAGGCTGCATTTACACTGCAGGTCTTGATGCCCAAATCCGATTTTCTGACTATATCCCATTTTTTTTGACGACCTGCTTACATCGTCACGTTACAAGTGACCCATATCCGATTTTTGCATTTAAACTATACACTGCTGAAACTACCAAATGCAGACGTTCTGACCCGGGAAAATTAAGCAAAACGGCACGAAATTCAATGGATGCAGATGCGAATAAAATTATCCAGTGTTTTCTTTTCTTTCCACAATATTTCAATAAGCCATCAAAACATTGGTCTCGTACGGCGGAGAAAAAAAAAAAAAAGAGGAGAGGCTCGAGCCACGAGCACTTAAAACGATGCATTAATATCTCGTGAAATGTCTTCAAAAACGGATTTATTTCTGTAACAACCCTGCATTTTTGCCTGCACTCTTCACCCCAAACACTCAAGACATGAAACCTCCGCATTGCTCCACCGTGTGTCTCCTTTCTTCCATCGCGCCTATAAGCGCGCACTTTTTAATGGCGTACGACTCACATTACCGGGGAATATCCGATTTGTCTGCTTACATGGCACACGCAAATGCACGTATCCGATTCATATCCGATTTATTACCACATATGAATGAGGCCTGAATCCGATCTGAGAAAATCGGAATCCAAGCGTTTTTTTCCTGCTTACACGTTCACTGGTCATATCCGATCTGTGCCACATGAGAGAGGGAAAAAAAAAAAAAAAAAAAAATCGGATTTGGGTCACTTGGGTAAACGAGGCCTAAATGTAAAATTAAACCCGCCAGGAAGTCACTGTTAATAAAGGAGTCAATTTCATCAGATTCAATTGATTCATTCAAACATTATAATGTGATGTGTAAGTGTATGTCGATGTAGAATGAATGTTAGATGTTGTAAACATACACTGTTATGCAAGAAAAAAGTCTTAATGAGTGAGTCATTGAATCATTGATTCAGCCGAATCTTTTTAAAAAGCTGATTCAATCAGTGTTGCTCAGCGACTAAATAGTGCAGTGGACTTTGTTTGCAACTATTTTCGTTGGAGGAATAGAGCGAAACAGACGATTTGATGTCTAAAATGTAAGTCACTAATGTTTACTTATTTATTGAACTGTACATTGTATAAAATCAATGTCACGTTTATAATCATGCTGACATTTGGAGAAAAATTGTAATATTGGTTAACTATATTAAATTATATTTAGATCAGAAGTTTACTCCAATCAGATGTTCTCAAACAACAACTTGATCTATTAGTGAATGTGGGGCTTTAGTGTGCAGCTTTAGAGATTTAACATTTAAAAATGTAATATCAAAAAACTTCTTCCGATTCTTGTGTTCAGGTTGTGGGATTGTGAAAAGCCTACCTCCTTTTCTTGGGTTGGGCTTTTCTTTGGGGCGACTTTGGCAATCGTCCCCTCGTATTTCACACTGCTTACGTCGAAAGAGACTGACTCTTCAGAACCAGCCTCCATGGTCACAGGCTTCCACTGATAGATAGAGATGTGAATGTGATTTAGAAGAAAGTGAAGGTTTTAATAAGCACAAAAAAGTATAAAGTTATCTACAACCGGACAACTGTGAATGAACAAGTCCTTTGGTTAGTCTAAACTACCTTGTCTTCGTTGCTTTTTGCTTGTTGATTAAAGGTCACAGAGCCCTCAGGAAGCTTTTTGAGTCGGATGGCCTTCTTGGTGTCATTCACCTTCAACACAGAGCATTTGTATGTTATGAAGTTTCGAATACAATCAATCAACAACAAAAGCCAAAGATACAGAGCTGTACTGGTGAAAAAAAAGAGCCTAGACATTTTACTCACAGTCAAAACAGTGAGCTCCACTGCATCCATGACATTCAACTCATCATCTGATAAATGGTCAGCAGCAGAAGCCGTCAGGCTATCATGTTTCTTCGTCATGATGGTCAGGGTCCCTTCGCTCTTGTTCATGACCACACCCTGTGATAAAATAATAATAAATATATTATGTTTTCAGAAGAAAAGTATTGTTTGTCTGTGGAAAGTTCAGGGTAGGGTGTTCTAGGTGTTAACCAGTCTCTTTAATACTGTGGCTTCTAGATGTGTCTTGGGTCTATCCTTCAAAGTAAACATATATTACATCACATTTTGCCTATTTTCTGCTGGACTAAAATGGTAAACCTGACCATTTAAAAAAGTAAAATCACACACACACACACACACACACACACACACACACACACACATACGTCCTCAAGCCGCATGGTTTAGGATCAATTATGTCTAGCACAAAGATGCAGGATGATACTTGTCCTGTTGGACAGAAGGTTTGGAATATACAGTATAGAGGCTTTAAAATTCTTACATAGTTTAAACTCTTTTAATATTTTTTGAAGAAAAAAAACAATGCATTTATTTATCCAATACATTTATTTATTCATACATACGGTGTAATGGTGCAAAGTTGAATTTTCATCCTCATTACTCCAGTCTTCAGTGTCATGTTATCCTTCAGAAATCATCATAATATGCTGATTTGGTGTTCATTTATTATGAATTATTACTAGTGCTCAATTATTAATAATGGTGCTATTATTTGTGGTGGCAAGTCAAGCTTTTGGGTGGCCGTTCTTAGCCTGCCGTCACACAGACCAGCGGAGGAGAATAAATAACTGGAAGAAGTTTTAAAAAAAACTTTTATCATCATTATCAATGTTGAAACTATTTTTACTGCTTAATAATTTTGTGGAAACAGATGCATATTTTTCCAGGATTCTTTGTGAATAGAAAGCTCAAAAGAAGAGCATTAACTCTGATAGGTCAGAGAAGTACGTGAAGAAGCTAAGCACTACAGCTACTTATAAGGTAAAGATCCTTTATTGATATAAAAATACCCCAAACGGCATAAAAATCAAAACAAGTGTACAGGACATCATCATTCAGCAGGACACCAATTATGGTCACGACGCATAATATGATTGACAACTCTAGACCAGAGTTTCCGCTAGAAAAAAATGGTTTGTTTTACGGACATTTTTATGATATGCCTTAGTCAAGTTGAGGAAAACTGGAGGCAGGCTATGTAACTTAAAAATATGCATGCGGTGCGACACACTCTATTTTTTCCAGGCGCATCCGTATCGAGATACAAACATCTTGGTGTGGATTGAGGTAGGGCTGCTATTTTTATTTAACGAAAAATCTTAGTCTAATGGAAAAAAATTGCCGGTTTTTGAAGGCTTTGTTCAAACGGATTCATTGTTTTCTTTTTGTCATCTTAATTTATTAATTATTTAAGTGAAAAAAATATTTTTAAATGTTGACCAATTTTAAGTTTATTATTTTATTCAGTTTTTCTCTGTTGTCGATAAGACTGATAAGATTATAATATTGAATTGCCATTAAATAAAAATAAAAATGACCCATTAAAAATACAAACATTATCATTTTATATATATATATCGCTTGGTGTATTTTTGCTTTATACATTTTAGGCTTATAAAATGAATGATCAGTTACAAGTGTACGACGAGCATTTACTTCAACAGTTCTAAACTTTCAAAGACAAACCAAGAAAAACGGTCAGTGGATGATGCGATACTTACAGTCTCCCTGATTTCTTTGGTGAGCTGAAACGTGTCTGGTGTTTTTGGTTTGATGTTTGTGGCTCTTTGTTCCTTGGTAATAAGATTAGTCAGCAACTGGAACTCCACACGATCATACAGTAGCAGAGTTATATTGGTGTCCGCTTTGCCGAAGGGCAGTTTAATGGGATCCGTAGAGATAATGGTCCTGATGCGACCAGGATTAGCCTCCTTGACATTGCCCTGATTAAATACATAAAGAAAGAGATTTTTAATGTTTCACTTAGTACAACTCTACACAACAGGACATTGTTACCATGACACATTAAAGTAATGGTCAAAGCACAGGTACTGCAGAAGATCAGCAGAAGAAGAAGAGAAAACTCGTTAAAACAGCGTTTAAGTGCGTGAATTGCATGGTTGGTTGAGGGAATAGTGCATCACAGTCCCGCCCACAGCCGGTGCCGGAAGTAAAAATTCAATACAATTTCACCATTGACATTTGAGATATAAGCCATAAAAACATAACCATACATGGTATACTTAAAACCAGCTACGACTGTACTAAGTGATTGTATATGCTCATATAAACGCCAAAAGTCCATGGGGCACTAACCTTGTTTTAAGATAAATGCCTTTTATTCGCAATGTATTGGGATAAGTACTTCATTTCCCATAATCCTGAATAATCCCACAATCCCACAGTGATGCATCTGATTGGTGGAAGTCATGTCACGTGTCTGAAACCCCGCGAAAGTACGTGACAGACTGAAGATCGTGTAATGACGTAGGGCTAAGTTCATTGGTCGCACCTCTGAGACACCCCCGCACCATTGGATGTGCAGTTACCGCAGCACAGCCTATAAGCAAGCCAGATGCTCAATGTTTTAGCATGCGTTTGCTTAAGTAAAAAAAAAAAAAGGAGTTTCCCTGCACATTCACTATATAAAATTCACTGGAAGAAAAAGTTCACGTGGCCATCGTCAGATTTGGAAGTTACTCAAAACGGTGGCTTCAGTCAACTTTAGTGAGGCGCGGTGGTTTATGGGAGGAGTGGTAGCGGTTGGTTGGGGGAATAGCGGTTGGTTGGCTGGGCACCAGATTTTTTGAAAGGTTTAAAGGGGGGCGTGACCAAAAACAATTGAGAACTATTGAATTAAAGCATAATCTCCACCACAGACTCATCAACGTGCTACATTACATGCAAAAAATAAGTTCTGACTTCTATGCTTCTGCCCAATTAGAAAGTTAGGGGTGATCAGACTCGCAAGAGGAGCCATCCACCACCGTTTGTGATGTTTAGGTGCAGGTAAACATGAAATTGATGATATCAAAATAATAAAACGGCATGGAGCAAAATGGTTAGTGACTAGGTTTCCAGAGCTGACTATCTGAAGCTTACAGACCATGCCTCGGAATTACAAATGTGTTTCTGTAATTACATTTTTATGCTATTTAAAGGGTTTGTTCACTCAAAAATGACATCAATTGCTCACCCATTTCATTTAAAACCTAATGGGTCTTTTGTTGATCTACGAAACACAAAAGAAGATATTTTAATGAAACCTGAGAGATTTCTGTCACTCCACTGAAAGTGAATAAAAGTCTAAATTAAATCTGTCTCTTCAGACAAATTGGATTAAACTGCTTAATTGATATGGATTTATCTTCCAATCTCTTTCTATGTTTTGGGTAGGGATGCACCGATCCACATTTTTTCACTTCCGATCCGATCCCGATCCCTGACTTTGGATATCAGCCGATACCGATACTATTCCGATACCAGAGCTGTTTGCTTTAATATTATTATCATTATTGTTGATTTTATATGATGCTGAAACAAACTCCTCTCTGCAGGCAAGTATGATATGTAATTATATCATATTTATATATATATATATATATATATATATATATATATATATATGTACTTATATCATATATAACTAACATATATATGTACTTTTATATATATATATATATATATATATACACACACATATATTGTAAGCTTGTTGTGTATATTGCCTAAATTGTAAGCTTAAACTTAAAAAAATAACATATTTTTCGTTAAACGTCATTTAAATAAACAAATATACGAATATATCTGGCCTTGATGCATGTTAAAGGAACTGAAACCTTCAGACATTTTCAATTCTATTCTTATCTAACTCACCAAGGCCAGCAGCAGTTACCCACGCACAGGTGGGAAAAAAAAACTGTTCATTTGTCCATTTATGGTTAATACATCATTAATTATTTCAATACATGGTTAAAAAAGCTTGTATATGAGGTGATGATAGTTGATATGAGTAATTCTAAAATATGTGCAGTTGTGAATATATTTACTAAAGTCAATTTGTCCCTGAAGTTGTTGTGATAGTGCGTCATGTCAGCTCAGTGTTCCCACTCACTGTTTCTGCTTATCACTCAAGGCCGACACACACACACACACACACAAGCACACAGAATTCCCTCAATGCTCAGCAATCTCTTTTCCTCCCCTGAAAAGCTCTCATATTTCTATTCTCTGTACATTTTTCAATATTAAGTGGATTCATATTGAATAGTGAGATTAAAACCCCATATCAGATAGCTTGAAAAGCAGTTTCTTCCCTACCTTAACTGAAAGTTGAGGAGGGACTTTCTCACTTTAGAGAGCATCAGATTTACATCAATTTACAAATTCCCATAATCGATGGTTGTTAAAATTAACAATCAATGAATCATTAACTTCAAATTGTACATCTGTCTGAATCATACACCTTTTTTTCCCACACACCACCACTAGATGCGTCTATTTAAATGTTTTAAACCTTATACGACATGATCTTGTAGTTTCAACCAATAAAGAGCTCAGCGTGTACGTGCAGTGTAGGTCTTGCAAAGCTGTCTTGGCTTATGGCAGCAAGAATAGCCTACAGGGACATCTCTACAGCAACGGATTTCGGCTTCAGGTCGGGTCAAACGATCTCGGGATCTATGATGACCTATTATTAACAGGGGTTAAATCTACAAAATACAACTGTAGATACATCAACGTCAATCCTTTTTGTCGGGTAGTATTATAATTTAACCTATATTTCATAAAAAAAACACAGATTCAGGAGCTAACTAGGCTAGTTAGTTTGGTTGCTTACATATAGCTCACTTGCTCCTAGCTAACGTGACCTTCTCCACCACTTCAGTTGAAACGATTGTCATTTGGCAATGCATTTAGTCAATTTGTTAAAATTTTTTTGTTTGAGAACTGAAGTATGATTATTTTGCACGTTTCAGAGTACATTCCTTATAGGGGTGGTTAATCTGTCTGATTTCCCGATTCGATTACGATTATTGAAGTCCCGATTTGATTACAGTCGATTTTCGATTATTAACGATTCTCGATTACCGATTATTGATTTTCCATTTCACAACAGTAAACGAAAATACACTAGATCAACATATGATTATATTAGCAGCAGCAACATTTTGGTATTAATTGCACTTTTTATTTGTTTGATTTTCATTGAAAATATAATGATGGTTAGTGAGGACATGCAAACATGCTTGTTGTCTACTACTTAGGCAACTCATTATCTTTACATTTATTAACTTAAAATTTTTTTTCAAAAGCAATTTTGTTGCATTATAATGCAAATGCACCTGGTTTTATTAATTGACAGCATTAAAATGTATTTTGTGATTTCCTTCAATTGAAAATATTTGAAGCAAGTTTGGGGGACTTGAAGGGCACCCGATTCAGAGAATCACCTAGAAATTCAAAAGAACAGCCTTTATCTGAAATAGAAAGCTTTTGTAACATTAAACAATACCGTTCAAATGTTTGGAGTCGGTAAGAATTTTTATTTAATTTTTTGGGCAAAAGAAAAAAGAAATCTATACTTTTATTCATCAAGGATAAATTAAGTTGATCAAAAGTTGAAGTACAAGACATTTATAATGTTACAAATCGATTATCTGAATCTTTTGTGTGTGACTATAAATAATTTGCTTTAAAAGTACAAATTAATGACCCATAAAGAATTAATGCACAATATATTTTATTAACATTACAAAGAACGACCAGGAAAATAAATGTGTGCTTGAACTAGGAGCATACTTGGAGTAAATAAATAATATAACGACTGGTGCAGCCGAGTGTTTTTCCTCCTCTGGCTGGAAAGGTGTCATATGGCTTATCATATTTGTCGTGTTTCCGTCGTTGGTTTTATTCCACAAAGCGTACAACTAGTGCGGCTCTTGTCCAGCTCGTTTCCCCCTTCAACTTCAGAAGCCAAAATATTTCCACACGTCAGCTTTTAACCTAACAAGGAAAGTGTTTGGATCTCGCGTGCCATCTCATCTCTGTTATGTGCACGCCACAGACGGTCCCGCCACTGCACTTCCGCGCTTCAGAGTTCCGTCTTTCGCGTTCCGTCAATATTACGTTATTATAAATACATATAAAATTTTTTTTTTTAAATCAATTTTTTGACATTTGTGAATCGATTCAGGATCGTCCACGTCCGCATCGCGATGCATCGAGAATCGATTTTTTTTCCCACCCCTAATTCCTTATATCTCCTGTGTACAAATCTGTGAAACAGCAGAGCAGAGCTCAACATTATAATTCATGACCCTTCCAAATAAGGTAATTCATACGTTGCCGTCACGTGACTGCCAAGGATGCCTGGCGGGCAACAAATGGGTATTTTCAATGTAGAGTCCTGGAGTTCCAGGTCTTTCTAGTAGCTATCAAGTCTTCTAGCGAGCTAGCTGCATAACTATGGACTAGGATTAAAGGAGAACTCGGGTAAATTTTAACATTGAGCTATTTTTTTGTACATTTGGAGTGCTGTCAGTACAGACAAAAACAACAAAAATTGGTGTCGTCTACACCGTGTTATCGTCTTTTTAAAATTCGCTCCCTGTTGACTTCAATGGGGCAAGTTCTAAACCTGCTTTTAGCCTCTTAACATCCTTGATTTGTCATTACAAGTGCACAGCCATGTGAGTGGTGTTATTAAGAGTGACCACGGTCAATCTGACTGCAGTATATGTGAAAGATATTAATAAAATTGATGTCAATAGGTGGTTTGCAGTCACGTGATTGTGTTGACGCGCGGAACGCAGACTGAGGGCAAGGAGTGAAGAGCGCAATGGACGAGATGGAGGAAAATCCGTACTGTACTGCTTTAGACGCTATTACAAGAGAAATATATAAACAGAAAATCGAAACATATGTTGGACGTGATGCTTACGTTATGAAGAGGACCGATTTTCAACTAAATTGAGAGATTTGCCTGCCATCGAGGCTGTAGATATCAGCAACTAACTCATCTTACAGACATACTTTGACTTTACAAAGTTCGGAAACTGGTACGTTACACAAACAGCCACATAAGTGTACTTAAACACCTGAATAATGTAATTATAAGCCACATAAATAATGTATTAACTCACATTTGACGAAGTGATCACTGCACACACACACACAGGCATTTTCCCATTCGGCTCCTCCCGACCGCAGACATAGGTTTATAAGGGATTTTTCCCGGTGTTTTTCTGTCAATTTCTTGTATTTTCCACCCTTATGAACAACAACTTTTGGCACACGATAAAAACTCCTTGTGGTTTGATCGATTTGAGCAACCGTAAACGACGCAAAACATAGGCGTTTTGAGTGTGTTAAAGTGCTTCCTAAATATCCACAAGTTTCCTACGCCCCATGAGGCCTTGCGTCAAAAGTGGGCGCGACTTCCGGTTGGAAGTAAACAAAGCACGATTTGACATGCTTGACACTCGTTCATTCAACAGTTGACAGTCATTCAAGTTATAGCGATCCAAACTAGCTAACGATGTGGGAACACAACCTCAACGAAATTAAAAAAGGTGAAATAACAGTACCTTTACCCTCCGCAGTAGTTGATTGGGAGTATTATAATAACATTATTAATAATCAATACTCATCAAGGCATGGTGACAGACAGTTGTGTGAGCTGACAAACAATTAAAATAAAAAATACACACTTAGTCATTGTGCTTTGGAGTTTATTCAAAATTATAAATGAATGTGCTGCTTGAATACATTAACTGGCACATTTGGTATTCTGTCAACACAGGCTTTGATCCTGAGTTTAGGTGTAACATCAGTAGAGAACAGCCAATCACATGCTGATAAAAGTTTATAGAATATTAAAAATTTAAACAAATGTACACAGGAAGATTCGTCGTCTTTTGGGAGGTGATGGAAACTACAGTCGTTGGCAGGATCACTCTGATTTCGTTTTCAGCTTATGTTCAAAACAATCACGTTTAAGCCACTGAATTAGTTTAGTCCGGTTATACATACAACCGCGAACAGCACATGTTGTCCATGAACTCCGTAACACCATCTCTCATAAAGATTTGCGTCTTTAAATAGTAAAATAATTCTCCGAAAAACAGCTAGCCTCTTCGCTAACTAACACACAAAATACCATTGGAATGCTACTTCCGCCGCCTCACCGGAAGTTTCACCCACTTTATTTTTTACAGGAGCGCCCCTCGGAAACTTGTGGATAGAAATCACTTCCTGCCCTCCATTTGCGTTTCGCGCCATGGCAACGCAGTTGCGTGACGTCACGTGAAAACAAGCTATTCAGCCAGCTCACATACCTGTATTTACTTCCTGTTTCTGGTTGATCATTGGTAACTAAGCAACAGTGGAGGCTCAGACTGTCAGCTGATGACGGTGCTGTGCGGTGTTCTGAGAATATCAGCTCAAATGGATAATTCAGCTGAATCAGATGTTGAACATCATTTAGTTACCAATGATCGCTCACGTGAAATCGACAATCGACTACTGTGGACTTCGACCAAAAACAGGAAGTCAAAAAAACAGAATTTGGGGGAAAAAAATAAAGCAGATTTCATAGGGCCCTAAGAATGGGACGTCTGCAAAAGGACAGAAGGTTCTGTTCTTCTCAAAAATAGATAAGCTTGCTTGCACCAAGAGCAAAACATATATTTAGTTATTTTTAAAGAAGTTATTTGTGAAATGACGTGTGTTTACGTGTGGGTATACATAGATAAGAAGTGTTCGAATATGAGGAACTAAGAACTATGTACAAGGGGCCTTAGGTTAACAAAAAGATGAGAAGCTGTGCAAGATGAGAAGACCTTTGCCCTTCTCATATCAGACTGTCTGTGTGTGAACTGCCTCTCAATATATATGCTGCCACTTGGCAATATTATAAGAAAACATGGAATTAACTTCCACTGTTACGCTGACGACACTCAATTATATATTTTATCACGACCAGATGAAAACACTAACTCATCTAAAATGACAGAGTGTCTCAAAGATATAAAATGCTGGATGACGCGTAATTTCCTGCTATTAAATTCAGATAAAACGGAGGTATTACTTATTACTTATTGGTCCAAAAAACTACTCACAAAACCTCTCACAATACAACTTTAATATAGACGGATGTCCTGTTACTTTATCCACTACAGTAAAAGACCTGGGTGTTATACTAGACCGCAACTTGTCGTTCGAAAATCATATTTCATATGTTACAAGAACAGCCTTTTTCCACCTTAGAAACATTGCTAAGCTGCGTAACATGCTATCTATTTCTGATGCAGAAAAATTAGTTCACGCATTCATGACCTCGAGACTAGATTACTGTAATGCTTTATTAGCCGGTTGTCCTGCATCCTCAATAAACAAGCTACAGTTAGTACAAAATGCAGCCGCTAGAGTTCTTACTAGGTCAAGAAAATATGATCATATAACACCGATTTTATCATCTCTACACTGGTTACCTATTAAGTTCCGTATCAATTACAAAATACTACTACTGACCTATAAAGCCCTAAATGGTTTAGCACCTATGTACTTAACGGACCTTCTTTCGCCCTACAATCCACCGCGTTCCTTAAGATCACTAAATTCAAGGCTTCTGGTCATTCCTAGGATATCGAAGTCCAGTAAAGGAGGGAGGGCGTTCTCGCATTTAGCTCCAAAACTCTGGAATGGCCTTCCCGATACGGTCCGAGCCTCTGACTCGCTGACACAGTTTAAAACTAGATTAAAGACGCTTCTCTTTAGTCAAGCATTCACATAATGCTTACCTTCTAGTCCTCTGTTATGCCATACGGAACCGTTTGCCACTGAAACTGCTTAACGCACCAGTGGGGCTCGACAGCCTCTTAGACAAACGGGTCGGCGCGTATGGTTGGGTTGCGGAGAGTTCAGGTTACGGAGAGTTTGTGAGTTATAACGGAAATCATTATGAACATCAGCTATGCTAATTATTTCCCATCTGCCTTTCTGCTGTTATCTGCCATCATACCAAAAATGGCGTTCGTCAGGTCCAGTTTTGTGTCCAGCCTCTCACGGGGATTTCGGATGCCCCAACGCCTGTGATGAGACGACTCAACGCCTGTGAAGAGACGACTCAACGCCTGCGATATGTTATGGCGCCGTTTTATTCATAAACAATATTTATATTTAAACAATATGAATGTAAGCCAGAGGAGAACTGGCCCCCGACTGAGCCTGGGTTCTCCCAAGGTTTTTTCTCCATCCAATCTGATGGAGTTTTGGTTCCTTGCCACTGTCGCCTTGCTTTTGGCTTGCTTTGAGCTTGCTCAGTTGGGGTTATTTAGTGTTTAGCAATGTTGTTGATCTGTGTTGTGCTACTTTCATGTTATCAGTGTGAAGCTGCTTTGATACAATCTGTATTGTGAAAAGCGCTATATAAATAAATGTGACTTGACTTGACTTTCTTGCAAGAAATAAATACGTATACTAATGACTTGAGATCTTCATTTGCTCTTCAATTGTTATTTGAGATCTAGGCAAAGAACGTCCATGACACGAGCAGGAGCTCATTTGCAAACTGCATGTTTTTCCTTCCAGTCAAAAACGTACTAATTTGACTTTTACTCACTTCAGGAAGGACTGTGAGAACTACGCCCTCATACACCGTACTGTCAATGTCATCTGTTCCTCCTGGTGCCACTTTCACGTCAACCGCACATTCTTTTCCCTGACATCACAAGAAGTTATAGTACAAAAATGAGTACAAAACCATCTTTATACGCAAAAATGCTTTAAATGAATTCTGCACATATACAAACACTTACCAAATTTTTCACTACTGTGAAATGCACTTTAACCCCAGGCACCAAGTCAGCTCGTTGTCCAAAAAAGGCATCAAAAACAAAAGAGAACTTCTTCAAATCCTCCCGTTCAATGAAACCACAATTATTCTGAGGAGAGATCAAAAACAGTGCTATCAAAATGTTTGATATTAAAAAAGCGTTCAGATTTTCAAGCAAAAAAACTCACTCAATTTAAATAAAAAATGTATGATAAAAAAATATCGCCGTTAATCAAAATTGTGTTGGGATCATAAATAGCTTTTTCGAATATCGTCATATTTTCGCGCAATTCTAGTATGACATAATTGATGCCGCGCCTACTGTCACAGAGCGCGCAGCAGGGTATTTACCTGTCAAGGTGTACTTTTCCTTTGTTACGTTGGGCGACGTTCCTCTCGTTACTTTATTTTAATGCAATACGTTGTTAAATGAGTTTATTCCAAGCACGCTGTATCCTTTGTATGGGCACGAGCGATGCTCATTTACAAATGAATCACTCTTTTGAGTCGATTCTGTTCAAAGACTTCATCAAACAAGTTGTCAGATCTGTCTAAATCGGTTCGCGAATCAGTTGATCTGTTCAGTCCCTCACGCACTGAATCATCTGAAGCGCTTTCAGTTCACACTCGAGGAGTCGTAAGTAACAGGAAGATTTAAGAACATCAAGAGCGTTGGATGAAGTGGCCGTGGATCTACAATCTAGTCTAGTGAAAGCAAATCTGCAAATGCATCACATTTTTGCCAGCGATGAAGATCTTTATTAGTTGAACATGCTATCTGTGAATGAATGATTCCACAGGACGATACATTCTATTTCATTTCATTCAGGTAATACATTTTACAACCAAACATATTATTACGCCACAATGGCATATGGAATAAAAAGTATGACATTATCCGGTTTTTGGACATACATTCATTTACAGGCTACAAAAAAACGCTTTAGAGCATCGGCACACTGGTTAACAGGTTAAATAAGCTACCATTGTCCACAGTTTATGAAATGAACACCCGCCATCCCGCGGTAATGTGTGTGTATTGCGCAGTGGCATAATGACACGAATAATTTACAATGATTGAAACTGATTCACATAAAATCATTGACATATGATGACATTATTTTTTGATCTAACGAGCATTGGCGATACAAAAACGGACTCTTGTGCGTATTGTTTTTTTTTCTTCTTCCAATTAGCCTAAAAAAAAAAAACGAAAACATGTTACTTGTTCAATTAATAAACAGTTTGTTTGATGAAAAATCGCTAAAGATGAAATTGGCCTCCCTTTCTGTCATTGCGGGGTTTTTTTCGGTTTTGTTTTTTAACAATATTCGACTTTTGCTCCTCGATTGTCTAATGGTATTTATGGCAGAAATGCACATCCCTAGGCAAGGCGAACTATTCTCAAAGACTTTTTAGTCATTATTTGGGTAGCACACATATTCTGAATGCCTTTGGGAGAATTCAAATGAGCCATTTGAATCTAGATCAATCTAGATAAATTTCAAGATTAATCTAGATTAAAATCTAGATTCATCTTGAAACCTCTATTTTAAATATTAACTCGGAAAATAAAATTCTAAAATAAATAATTCCAGTCATGGCTTCTGATTGGTCAGTAAAGATTCCAGCGACAAACAATTTGTCTGTCCAAACACCACGCGACATTTAAAATACATAATAGTTTGAATGTTTACCCATAACTTACAGGTAAATGATGCATTGCTTTCATTATGGCTATTAACATCACGCACAATGATATTCTAACTAAAATGAAACTATTTTACTATAATACAAAAAGTGTTTTATGTTGCATATGTCTGTCACTGTCACAAAAACTGATGATTAACATGGAAAACTTTTATTACGTCACGGTAGCATCACATTTGTTTAGCGCACACTGACATGTTCCACGCATTATCTACTAATGTAATTTACAATATTATTAATACTTACGCCAATGAATGAAATGATTCCCAATGAGCGTCCACGAGGAGTGCTGAAATGAAAACACACATGGCGGTTTACTTCAACAACCTCTCCTTTTTCAGAACCACTATCAATTTTCCAGCAAAAAAGGCATGCCTATAAATTACTTTGCAGAGATTTTCTTGAACGCTGATATCTTTGATGCCATCGATTTGGGAGGTTCTGTCTTCGTGTCTTTTGGTGCCGGCTGATCGATCTTCTTCGGAGGTTGGGGTGGACAGGCATTTCCAGGGAGAGGCATGCTCTGAATTAAAAGAACATCAGACATTGCACCGCAGATCTACAAGCTTACACAAGAGCAAACATTTAGTACTGAATTAAATACAAGTGTGCACTTACAGTGGCATTGAACGCCTCAGGTTGTGGCTGAACTGGACCTGGGCCTCGGAAATCTAGTGGAGGTCCTTGTTGGAACCCTCCTCTCTCTCCAAAAGCATGATTGGCCTTATTTAAATGAGGAAAAAATATGCTTTATTCAACATTAAAATAAAATTGACAATGTTGCAGTGTTTATTATAAATGATTAATCCATGGTCAGCATTATATCTTAAAAATGAATGTGCCCTGCATACTCTTTAATCGAAATAATACAAATTTAACAAAAAATAATAAACATACAAATATAACATAACAACAGAAGTTCACTGTATGTATTTGTTAATGTGTCTAGGGCTGTCAGACGATTAATCGCGATTAAATGCATCCAAAATAAAAGTTTGTGTTTACATAACGCGTGTTTAATTGTTTAATATGTGGGTGCACTGTGTATCTATGATTATTTTGTGTGTGTATATATATAAATCTATACAGTATATACTTTAAAATATTTCTTAAATATATACAAGCATGTGTGTGTATTTATATAATTATACACAGTGCACCCACACATATTATGTAAACACAAACTTTTATTTTGGATGCGATTAATCGTGATTAATCGTTTGACAGCCCTACATGTGTCTATCACAAAAACGTATGATTAACATGGAAAACTTTTATTACGTCACAGTAGCATCACATTTGTTTAGCGCACACTGACATGTTCAACAAATTATTCATGTGGTGGAATAATGTGTTGGATAAGTCAGAGATAAGCCTAGAGGGATAAATCTGAAGCACACCATAAAATAACTATCAATTCATACAGGGCTAGTATGAATTGTACAGATCACACCCAGTATCGGATCAGTACTCGATATCGGCCGATACCCTGAGACCAGGTATCGGTATCGGGAAGAGAAAAAGGGTATCGCAACATCTTTAATCATATTATTAAATAATACAATTTAATTTAAATTTAATTAAAGCTGCAGATCAAGTCGTGGAGGCTCTGGCGTGATCGGGAGCAATGAAATAATCGTAATAAGACCACACAATTGAGGATTTTTTGGACAAAATGTCATTTGTGACGAGCCTCCAATCGGACAACACCCCCCCAGATCGTTGGGGGATGCCAATCAGGCTTAAAGGAACACTCCGACTTTTTGGAACTTTAGCTTGTTCACCATATCCCCCTGAGTTAGATAAGTCCATACATACCTTTTTCATCTCTGTGCGTGCTGTAACTCTGTCTGACGCACCCACCGCTAGCCTAGCTTAGCACAAAGACTGGATGTAAATGGATACAGCTAGCATACTAATCCCAAATAAGTGACAAAATAACGCAAACATTTTCCTATTTACATGTTGTGATTTGTACAGTCACAGAGTGTACAAATAACAAGGTTATATGAGACACAGACATCTTTTAACCATATAAATATTGGGAACTATATTCTCAGAAGGCAAAGCACTGCTACTTGGGAGGAGTGATAACCGCAGCACCTGAGACGCACCATGGTGAGGAGCAGAGAGTTTGTTCAGAGTTGGAGTAATAGAGTCAGCAGTTACTAGATAGTAAAAGCATAGTTTACAATCATAGGTGCTCGCTGTATTGTGAAGAGCTGCGACAATAAACAGTGGAGACCGGACGTAATACTAGGGCTGGGCGATATATCGAGTATGTACGATCTATCGTTATATTTTTTGAAACGATATGGAATGAGGCAATACCGTTTATATCGATACAGTAGTTTGATATGAGCACATCTGAAAAATAGCGGAGTTTGCAGTGTGAGCTGCTGCAGTGAAAGTAGCTAGGCTACGTAGTACAATTTGTCCTAAACATGACACAAGCTTGTATTAATTGCGTCAAAATCACTTTGATATAGTTAACAAGTTTAAGGCAGCTTGCCGCCCGGTCAAATGCTCTGACAGACACTGTTGCTGACTGACAGATATACTTGCGCTGTTTAATGCGTTTGAGATGTGGTGCTTTCCTCAGTGCTCAACTTACATTTCACAGGTATATTCTCCATCTGTAAATGTTAGAAAGTAAAGCAAATATGTCCATTTCACAACAAATATGTCCATGTCAGAAGAGGACGAGCTTCAGCAAGTGAATCTCCGCTAAAATTCATGCTTCCTTGAACGAGCGCCGGCGCGCGCATGCGCATGAATAGTACTACGTAGTACGCAATAATTCTGAATAAAATAAACATATTGCTAAAATATTTGTTGTTGGAGAAAATAAGTGTGCCATATGTGGAATTTTAAACCTAAAAGTATATATTTTTAATGAAAGTGAAAGTGATTATAATGGGGTAATCAAATGCAGGCTAATATAATTAGTTTGTGCTTTTGTTTTTGTTTTTATTTTCATTTTTAGTTTAGCTTTTAGTCATTATAAAAACAAAAGCTTTTTGCACATAATATATTGCATAGCCTATATTATATTTGTTTCCATATCCTTCAATATCAACATTGTTTGTAGGATATCATTGGGCCGAATGTGAATATATATATGAAGAGTTCAGATGCAAAAGCCTCTAAATGCCATTTGAAATTTTCTTCTAAAATGACCATTTTTATCAAGCTTGTATATTTAAGCTCAGTAATTTCACTTAAATGACAATTAATAGGTAATCTTCATTGCCATTTAAGTGAAATTACTGAACTTAAATATACAAGCTTGATAAAAATGATCATTTTAGAAGAAAATTTCAAATGGCACTTAGAGGCTTTTGCATCTGAACTCTTCATATATATATATATATATATATATATATATATTAAATATAAAGATTTTCTTTATCTAAATAGAAAACGTAGAAAGTACCGAGATATATATCGTATATCGCCATTTGACCAAAAAATATCGAGATATGATTTTTTGGCCATATCGCCCAGCCCTACGTAATACCATGATGTTTCATAGAATTCCAACCAAAAACGCTGACCTGATGAATCAATGGTGAATAATTTCACTGAGGACGAGTCCGACTATTTTGAATAAAATGGCATTTGCCACACGGACCATGAAACGTGTGCTGAAGGATACGGCCATCCCATCGATAGGGGGATACGATGAATAAGCTAAAAGCCCAAAAAGTCAGAGTGTTCCTTTAAAATCTGTGTGCCTTCTGGTCACCCTAAGAAGACAAGTGGTCAAATGCACAGAATGCAAACTTGGGTATTTGAAAAGGACAAAAGTTGAAAAGTCCTGTGGCAAAAAGGACAACAATTGAAAGCAATCCGGTGGACAAAGCTCAAAACGTTCTAGACCCTGTTTATACCTGTATTTAGCGTCATGCACTTGTGATCCAATCAACCAAAACTTAATACCAGGTGTAAACAGGGCCTCAATTTCATCCCAAATTTAAGCTATTTTTTTTTTTCAAATATCAGTACTATGAGACAGTAGTACATTTCATCTTATCCAGCTCTGCCAATTATAATGGACCCAAAAGCACATGACACTATCAGCAGAAAGTTCCATTATTCATCTCCAAACTTATATTAATAATAATTTTAAAAAATTCATACTCTCTCTGATCCAACTATATTTTTTATAAGGGGTTTCAACAGGTCAGTGAAAAAGCAGTGGAGTAGAAAAAAAATATAACAATACAAAAATTAACAAGGCTAATTAATTAAATAAACAAATACATTAGGTTGAAATAAAATGTGTTGTTAGAAGTAAATAATACATTGTAAGTAATGTACACATACAATGTAATGTATTTCAACATATTAAAAATATTGACTTTTCTATACTTAAATATAGGCTAGCTTCTGCGTTTTAAATTATAGATTGAGTGTCCTATACATGAGGATGATCATATTTGGGGTCTGTGACATAAAAAGATTGAAAACCCTCCCCTAGATATAACTTGTAAAACTTTTTCTAAAGTCATTCAATAGCTTTGTGAGAATCATTGATCACTGAAAAACTGAATCATTAAAGGAGTAGTTCACTTTTAAAAAAACTTTTGCCGATAATTTACTCACCCCCATGTCATCCAAGATATCCATGTCTTTCTTTCTTCAGTCGAAAAGAAATTAAGGTTTTTGATGAAAACATTCCAGGATTTTCTCCATATAATGGAATTCATTGGGAACCAAACTGTTCAAGGTCCAAATGAGAGTTTCAGTGCAGCTTAGTCCAGTCTTATCTAGGACCCTTTGAGTCATGACTCGAAAAAAGATTTGTTCATTTTGATGAACGAGTTTGAACAGGAGAGTCACGAACGCTCATCATCGCAGAACAGAGCAAGGCGAGCATTTGTGCTTATAAAACTTAAACTTTTTTATTTATTTTTAAATGACCTTTCGTTTCACTAGACCCTTATTCATCGTCTGGAATCGTTTAAAGCCCTTTAAAGCTGCACTGAAACTCTCATTTGGACCTTGAAACAGTTTGGTGCACACTGAAGTCCATTATATGGAGAAAATCCTGGAATGTTTTCATCAAAAACCTTAATTTCTTTTCGACTGAAGAAAGAAAGACGTGGACATCTTGGATGACATGGGGGTGAGTAAATTATCAGCAAAAGTTTTTTTTTAAAGTGAACTACTCCTTTAAGAGATAGTTCACGCAAAAAAGAAAATTCTGTCATGATCACTTACCCACCCTCAAGTTGAGAGGAAAAAAATTCATACAGGATTGGAACAGCTTGAGGGTGTGTAAATCATGACAACATTTTCATTTTTGGGTGAACTGTCCCTTTAAGATTCGACCACAATCCGAATCTATCCCATGCCTAAATCCAAACACTTGGCTTGCGTTATTGCGAAGTGATAAGTCAGCGTGACATCAGATGACAAATGAGGACCCTAAACTTACATGTACATCCATCTGTGGCGCAAACTGAGGGTCTCTTGGGCCATACTGCTCCATTTGGTCGAACCCAGGATTCATCCCGTGGAAACCTGGTCCGCCCTCATATTCAGACGGATGGAAGTTCGAGGGTCTTCCCATAAACTCAGGCGGACAGAAGTCTGGAGGTCGTTCACAAAACTCCGGGGAACGGAACTGCGGTGCACAGTCAAGCTCTGGACGGTAGAACCGCGGTCCTTGTGGTCGGTTCCCAAACTCGAAACGCGGACCAGGACCGTCAAAAGCCTGATGGTGGAACTCATGTCTGTTGGCAAAGTCCATCGGGTAGCAAGGCTCATTATGCATCATGAATCCCTGTGTTTCATGCATAAACCGTCTGTCCCCTTCCATGTTATCCATCATCATCATCATTCTGGGGTTTGGGGGTCCGAAGCCTGGATGGGGCCCAGGGAACCTCTGTCCAGGTGGGCCCATCGGGCGGATAGGAGCAGGACCGCGGAACCCGCCGTGAGGAGGAGGTGGTGCTGGTGCTGGCATGCCATGCGGTGGTCTAGGTCCCGTAATCGGAGTATTTACATTACCTTTCAAACGCTTGCGGTTTTTGCCCATTTTCCAACGGTTGGCGGCTAGTGACGTACAACAGCCACAAGTTGCTCGGTGAGCCGCTAGCGGGCCAGGCGAGCCGTGTCACTAACACGTTAGTTCGCGCACACAATCATGCAGATGTAATGCTGTTTACGTCGCATCAACGTAACAAATTAAAATAATAAAACTGTTTTAATATATTTGATTTCAGCTATGAGCTACTCAAACTAAAGCTCAATGGTCCAGCCCACGAGCTCACTCTCCAAAAACACACCACACACGCATAGAAACAATACAAATGGCCAGCAGATGTGACGCAACGGATTCAAAATAAGAGTCGACGGAAGATGGCCAAAAAAGAAAAAAAAGTACAACAAAAAAGGATCTTCTGACGCAGCCGAATGAATGAATAAAATGAATGTTATTTATAAATGGGTATTTACCTATGTTCAAACTTAAGACATAAAACCGTCTACTGAGGAAAACATATCTCGTATTTTAACGACTTTCAACTCGGTGGGAAATTTGCAATCATATATTTATATGGTTTATAAGCTTTAAAAATACATTTATTTTAATATTAAAAATGAATTACGAATATTCATTTTAAATATAGTTTCAATTTGTTTTTCTTTAAAATGTTTTCCTTCAGAACTCCATATGGTGACATGCAGATTTGTATTGAACTGCGTGATTTGTGTACATTTCTGATGCAGGGAGAAGATCCAGTCAGAGGATTAAGTCAAATTGTATTTCTTAACAGCAGACAATCAAATAATAAATGAAGAGTAAAATTAATTAATCCATAATCGGGATTAAAAGTTTAATAAAGAAACATAAAATGAACAGTTAAAATCACTTCTAATATTTCTAAGTAAAAGTATAATTAACAAACTGAGTATAATATTCTTGAGATATTAAAGTTGTGTTTGAGAGATCTCTCTTTGAAAAGACAGGGGCTCATCCAAGATGAGACATTCTTCCTCCTCTAATGCAGATGCTGATAAGCACAGTTCCTCTTTTACTATCGCATTGAGCAGACACTAAAGACAAAGAGATTTCGTAATTTTGTGGTTTCCCACCGTTGGAGGGGGGCCATACACACCTTTTACCACAAATGTGTCAGAAAGTTGTTAATCTTAATACAAAACACCACAAGGAACTACTGCACAACATGTCTCTTCTGCAAGATGTTTTGCTAAGATAGCATTAGTTTAGCACTTTATTCTGAGATGTTTGAGAATTTGTGGTCTGTCTATTGGAAACTTGCAGCCTTTTGACCTCATCTAAACAGCGAGCACAATAGTTCACCCTATCAGCAACTTTTGAGGCATAAAGATGAATAAAAGAAAAGCACATTTAAAAATATAATAATGGTAAACACATCAAAAAGATAATAGTGAGGAACAAATCAACATAATAATGTTTCTTAAAATATGATTGATTACATTTGGTTATGATATTTAAAGCTGTAGTCTGTAATTAATCTTAATGATTAAATAAGCAAATTATAAAACATAAATATATATTTTTCTTTTTCTGCTTCATCAATTTCTGAAATACATAACTTTGACATAGTCCCCTGATAACAGATCACTCTAAATTGTAATGTAGACACATGAATTTTCTGTAAAGCTGCATTGAAACGATATATATTGTGAAAAGCGCTACACAAATAAATGTGAATTGAATTGATAGTGTGAAGAATTTTTTTTCCCAGTATAAAGCTTTTGTGCAATGGAAAGATTTCATGGATGTTAAAGGATCGTCAACCATCAATGCCAGTTAAGAATAACATTTTTAAGAATTTCAAGATTTGTTGCAAAGACGTTGCGATATTTCTCCCTTTTACAGACCTGTAGAAAACTTATTTCAAATAAGTAGAAATACTTTCCCTTATTCAAATAAAATAACTAAATTGCAAAGCGCAAATTCAAAAAAGTGACTCCTGCTGGCATGACCTGAGGCTTTAACAGTCTTGCAATCATACTTCACTTCAAACTCATGAGGAACCTATTTGTGATTTTAATCTTACAAAAAAGAAAAGAAAAAATCAAATAGCCTAAATATTAAATCAAGAAAATCTTCCCTTTGTGGATCTACTTGTAGTATCATCTTAAACTTTAAAAATACAAGTGAAATAAAGATTGTTTTTTTAATCTAATTCCCTTGTTAGCATTATCTCAGGGAGGGTTCATTAAGAGCCACGCCCTAATTTGAGACGAATATAAATGAAGATCAGGTGGGGGGGTTAGGTGTAGCTCCTCAGGTGAGCTGATTTCTTTCAGAAAAGTAATGGTCAATAACTTCTGGGAGCTTAGTTTGTGATAAGAGTGTGTTTTGTATTTACAGGCTCAGAATTAATTCCTACTTGCTGTAAAACTCGAGCATAATGGTGAGACTATTGAGTGTCACTGTCACTTTATTGTTACTGCTTAACCTCTTCACTGTGTGACTGTTTTTTATGTGCTTGTTTTGGGCAAACCAGAGGGAGTGCATTTCCGTACATATTGGTCAAGCAGGTATCCAGATGGGTAACTCTTGCTGGGAGTTGTATTGCTTGGAGCATGGCTTCCAGCCAGATGGGACCACTGTTGGAGATGGCAGCTCATTGGCAGACTCCTCTTTTGGCACTTTCTTCAGTGAAACAGGTGCTGGGAAGTACGTTCCTCGTGCAATGTTCATTGATCTGGAGCCGACAGTTGTTGGTGAGACTGAACTCCATTCAGGCTTTTTATCTTCTTTCTTTACAAAACTTGTTTCGCAGTACTTCCAGTGTAGCTTATGTCTTATCTCTTTTGTTTGAAATGCAGATGAGATCCGCAACGGAGCCTATCGACAGCTGTACCACCCTGAGCAGCTCATCAGTGGCAAGGAGGATGCCGCCAATAATTATGCTCGTGGTCACTATACCATTGGCAAGGAGATTATAGACTCTGTGCTCGACCGGATGCGCAAAATGGTGAGTTTTCACTCTTCAATTGAGGTTCTTTAGAGGTTGTTCATGAGGCTGCATGTTCTAGTGTCCTTGGGTGTATTGCCATCACACAGAAGTGTCTAGATAATGTTCACTCTTACTGTTTTAAGACTGACGTTCTTTGGGAACTCAAAATGGTGGTTCTTTGGTATTTCTTTTGAAACACTTAAGTGTGTGGTGACCCTTTAAAGACTTCTGCGATATTGCTGGCAGTATTTGAATACCCACTTCTCCCTTTCCCCTCTGATTCCTCTAGGCGGACCAGTGCACCGGTCTGCAAGGGTTCTTGATCTTCCACAGTTTTGGTGGTGGAACCGGCTCTGGTTTCACTTCTCTGCTGATGGAGCGACTATCTGTTGATTACGGTAAAAAGTCAAAGTTGGAGTTTTCTGTATATCCTGCCCCGCAAGTCAGCACAGCTGTGGTTGAGCCCTACAACTCGATTCTTACGACCCACACCACTCTCGAGCACTCGGACTGTTCCTTCATGGTGGATAACGAAGCCATCTTCGACATCTGCAAGCGAAACCTCGATATCGAGCGTCCCTCATACACTAACCTGAACCGGCTCATCGCCCAGATTGTGTCCTCCATTACTGCGTCACTACGCTTTGACGGCGCCCTAAATGTCGACCTCACGGAGTTCCAGACAAACCTGGTCCCGTACCCTCGTATTCACTTTCCACTGGTCACCTACGCCCCTATCATTTCAGCTGAAAAGGCCTACCATGAGCAACTCTCTGTGCCGGAGATCACCAATGCCTGCTTTGAGCCAGCAAACCAGATGGTGAAGTGTGACCCTCGCCGGGGAAAATACATGGCCTGCTGTTTGCTGTACCGTGGTGACGTGGTTCCGAAAGATGTCAACGCCGCCATAGCCAACATCAAGACTCGGCGCTCCATCCAGTTTGTAGACTGGTGTCCTACTGGGTTTAAGGTGGGAATCAACTACCAGCCGCCCACTGTTGTGCCAGGAGGGGATCTGTCCAAAGTGCAGAGAGCCGTGTGCATGCTAAGCAACACCACCGCCATTGCGGAGGCTTGGGGACGCCTGGACCACAAGTTTGACCTGATGTACGCAAAGAGGGCTTTTGTTCACTGGTACGTGGGTGAAGGGATGGAGGAAGGGGAGTTCTCCGAGGCTCGGGAAGACATGGCTGCCCTGGAGAAAGACTATGAGGAGGTTGGTGCCGATTCCAATGAGGACTGTGGGGAGGAGGATGAAGAATACTGAAGATTATAATTGTATTTAATTCCGATAATGTAAGTGTATTTAATAAATTTCAGAGCATTAGAAAACTTCTGACTAGTTTTGCCTTCATGACCTTGTTCACATGTGGTTGTTTGTGTCCTTGGGCATTTAGGGAAGATAATTGAGCCACAGTTCAGCTGAAGTCACATTTCATAGTGGCGTGGGGTTCTTGCATGCCAAATTATTGTTTGATTTCAATGTAGTCCGTTACTTCCTTTGTGGTTTCTAACCGCTTAAAAAGAAAAACCTCTGAACTCAATACAAAGAAATGTGCTCAAATTTAAAGGTTACACTTTATTTCGATAGTCACTTTAGACGTTATACTAATTATAAGTAACTTTTCAACTACATGTCAACTAACTCTCATTAGAGTAGTAGTATATTATAGTAGACTGAAAATAAGTTTACTTGTAGTCGCCAAGTTACTTATAGTCAGTTGAATGTCTGTTGGGGGACCAACAAAATAAAGTGTTGGCAGATATTAAGCTGACAATCTACTAATCCTCTAATGACAGTTAGTTGACGTGTAGTTGAAGTTACTTATAGTTAGTAAAATGTCTACAGTGGACTATCGAAATAAAGTGTTGCCAATTTAAAGTATCTTTCTTACATTTCCAATGCTGGAAGAGGGTAAAACCCATTTGTGGGAGGTAAGTAACTTGCTTCAGTGAAGCTTGCTGGATACTATGGGGGGCAAAGAACACAAAATGGCTCAGTGCTGCAGTATCATTCTCAGGGGCCATCTTGAAACATTTAGTCCATTATTCCACAAATGGTGTGAGGCCACATGCAGAAACCAAGTGTTCGACTCTTCATCTCATGGAGTATAACTGCCATAGTAAATCTGCTTCATAATAAGAGATTAGAGGGGTGTAAAGCATACCTGAAAACTACAATTAAGTATAGATGCCTTCCAGTAAAAAAACTCACCAATTCACGATTTTAGTAAGTCAAAGCCTATTTTCACAGACTGGGCTGATCTGATCATTTTGCTTATGTAACATGCACTGTTATTTTGTCTGTCACCTTTTTCAATTTATAACATCTTATATTCATGTTATTTAACAA